TTGTATACTAAAAAATTATAACTTTTTAAATACACAATGTTAATGTTTATTTCCTCGCAAACATCTCATCTGATTTTAACAATTTTTTTATTTTAGGTTGGCTCTTGAGTTACGATTCTGGGGTGCATCAGCAATAACAGCGGATGTCAATTAGTCCTATCTGAGTCAACGTGATGTGTTTATATTATATAGTATAAAGTATATATACTATATATTATAGTATATATATACTAGGTATATATTATAATAACGTGAATAAAAAACAAAATGTCAGAAAAGATAGGACTACACCATGATTTCAATTGACATCCGCTTTTATTGCTGTATAATATACAGCAATAAAAGCTAAAATTAAAATGAAAATTTTGATTTTTTGGTAGACAGCTTTATTAATAAAATTGTCTACCATAGCATCGTTACTGAAAAAAAATCAAATCATATGAGGAAATTAACATTAAAATTTTTGCCAATTTCTGGTGGCCGGTTTTTTTGCCGGTGAATGTATAATGTACAAGAAAAACTGAAGTTTGAAAAAAATAATTTTAATGAAGGTTCAAAAAAAGTTACAAATTTTAAAAATGAATAGTTATGATAATGATGAATGTCTCATAAAATATGTCAGCAACCATTACATAATCCACTATTTGAATTAATTAAAAATAACTAACTAAAAATGAATTAGTCAAAAATAACTAATTTTCATAGCGAAAAATCAGCCACTAATAATTATAGTCAATAGCAATTTGTATCCCGAACATTTAGCAGTCAATTTCCATGTAAAATTGTCCCCCAAATCCGAAAATGTCCTCAAAAGTTAAAAAAGTAGAAAAGTTTTTGAGATATAGTCAATTTTCCATTTAATATGGAATTGATTATATCTCAAAAACTGCTCTACTTTTATCATTTTTGACGGTATTTTCGGATTCAGGGGACAATTTTACATGTAAATTCTTTGCTAAAGTCCGAAATATAAATTGCTCTTGACGAGAATTATTAGTGGCTGCTTTCTTGCTATGACAATTAGTCATTTTTGAAAAGAAGATACACAACGTTGGCGATATGTGAAATACTCTGTATAATATTTAGTGGCACATATTTTAAAATTACGGAAAATACTTTTAATTTTAATAATTATTTTAATATAGTTTTTTTATCGCAAAATACAAGGTGTCTTAAAAATGGTTTACAAAAAAACAAATGTCATTTTTGTGGATGTAATTTTTTTTAAATACCATTAATTATTAAATTTTAGATTTTAAGTTGCAAATTTGGCGAATGCGTTGGGAGGAATGCACGATTCTTTCAAAAAAGTGTGCTTATCATTCATCAATATTTATTTAGTAAAAAAATGATTTTATGAAACAGGACCGATATGACTGAATAAAATATATAGGGTTTAAGTATTTAAAAAAAAATATTTCTTTAAATTTTTGTCTCAAACGTTTAGAGAATCTCTTAATTTTTGTTTGTTGAGATATTTTTTTTAGTTTCTTGGCAAATAAACTGCTAAAAATAGATTTTTAACACTAAAATCACATATTTTAGATAATACCCCAATAAGTTAAAATAAAATTGACTATAAAAATTGTACTTACCAATCTAAACACTTGCTAAACGAAATAAATAACACATGATTTTACTTAAATGTGGAAAAACAAAAACCGATTAAATATTAGCAGAAAAATCGAGTGGCCAAGCACATAAGCGGTATAGTGCGTGATTTCGGAAAAGTAGGCCGACGTCGGGCGTCGCAACGCAAACAAACGACGTTCTGGATGGCACGGCGTCTTGCACGCGACTGCCGGCGCTTGTTTTCCCTTTGCGGCATGCGTCGCGACGCCCTTCGCTTCGCAACGCCTTTACTTTCGAAATTCGACTTGTGTGTGTATTTACCTACAGAAGTTGGCTGGGATCGATTGTTGTTTTCGATTAAGCTAGAGGCGCTAGAAAAATGTTACTTATCTCTTAAAATTAATTAGTCAAAAATAACTAATTATAAGTCATATTTGACTAATTGTCATAGCGAAAAATCAGTCACTAATAATTAGAATGAAATAGTCAAATTAGTAGATTTAAATTTTAAAAAATTTTTGACCCAGCCGGGGATTGAACTCAGGTCTGTCACTTGTCACTCTTGTCAATCTGTTGTCATAACCCATTCGGTTATCAGCCGCTCTTATAAAAATCAGTTTTTTTTGTCAATAAATATTGTTTATAATATTTTAAAGTTGAATATATTACACAGGCCGACAAAAATAAAATTTCTGTTTGGTGCATGGCAACCAACAACTTTTTAAGGGTAATTTAGGTACGCTGAATCCAAAAATGAACATCATTTTGCTCAATCACCTCTTGTTTTTGCGATGTAGAATAAAAACCATTTTTTTCGATATGCGTAAATTCAAATTCTTATATATTTTTTTTTAAACTTCGTATTCTCATTAAAAATCTTGCTTTAATCGAAAGAAAATCGATTTTTTAGCCAAAATTCGGATATTTTTAAAATTCAAAGTGATACAGCATGATCAATTTTCGCCCGATTTAAATAAAATTTACCCTATTTGTAGCTCTATTTATCTAATTCATTGAAATAAAATTGCAGTGCAATCAAATAAAAATTGGCAACATGGCAATAAAATCAACCAAAATTGGGTACTACGTGTACCACTTAAATAAACTCTGTGAATAGCTATAAATATTCACAGAGCCTATTTAAGTGGACAATTTTTGTGCCTAGGATTTTAGACCTGATTTTAAGTATATCTAATAAGAAGATGTCAAAAATAGTATTGTTTTTTCTATAGTAGTTTTAGTGTATGAGAGTATGAGTAGAGTATCTGCTGCTGCTCTCAATACTCTACTATCATCCACTCTGCCATGCTAAGCTAAACCCCCGTATCTGCAATATTAAATAATGAAGGACAAAATATAGTTTTTATTGTTTTTAACAATGAAAATGATCTTTTATTTATTATTGCAGATACGGGGGTTATGTTAGCACGGCAGCACTACTCTCATTCAATTTTTGATTGCATTGAAATTTTAACACTGTAAAGTAGATAAATAGAGCTACAAATAGGGTAAATTTTATTTAAATCGGGCAAAAATTGATCATGCTGTATCACTTTGAATTTTAAAAATATCCGAGTTTTGGCTAAGAAAACGATTTTCTTTCGATTAAAGCAAGATTTTTAATGAGAATACGATTATCAATGTATATGGTATTTTTTTTTAGTTTAATAAAGACCCATAGCAACATTACCAACTATCCTTGCTTAAATTAGAAGTTTTAAAAAAAATATATAAGAATTTGAATGTGCGCATATCGATAAAAATGGTTTTTATTCTACATCGCAAAAACAAGAGGTGATTGAGCAAAATGATGTTCATTTTTGGATTAAGCGTACCTAAATTACCCTTAAAAAGTTGTTGGTTGCCATGCACCAAACAGAAATTTTATTTGTGTTGCTGTTTTGAGGTAAACTTTTTGCATCTTTATTTGATTTTATGGGTCATTTAACCATAGAGCTTAGGTATATGCATTTAATTCAAATAATACTTTGTTGATGGCCGCAAACGATTAAAGAAATTAGTTACTTATAACTCTCAGAAATAGTCAAAGATGGTGACTAATCTTAAATTAGTCAAACTTTAACTATTTACGTATAGTAAAAAATAACTATTTAAAAGTGAAAACATTTTTAGAGATAACTTTATTCGTTTACGTAAGATAGGCTATAGGGTCATTGTTTGTATTTGCACATAAGGGTTTTGCCCATATGCCATGCAAATAGAATATTACGGTGATTCCATAAGAGGTATTTAAAAAACACCGTTACAATTTTGATAGGAGGAAACTTACATTTATGGTAAATAGGTTATACAAAATCAATTTAATGTATTTATTAGAATGACATTTGAAACAACAAGACAACCAAGAAGCCAACTCAATTGAGTTAACGGCTTGTGTGGGTTAGGGGTAGGAACGGATCGCGGGCTTAAAGTCCCCTCCGAAGGAACTGGGACATTGTTAAAGTTAAATAGTTTTAATAAAAGAATCTTCAATTCAGATAATTTAAATTTTTCATTCAAATTTTATAAACAAATATTGTTTACCCAGCAAACACAAACGTAAGTAAAGGTTCTATACCCAGATAGCACACAACGTCTTAAAGATGTCTTTTGTATGTCTGTATTATGTGTGAACGTCTGAAGATCTAAAAAAGACGTCTGAAAAACAACTTTTGATAGACGTCTTAAAGATATCTTCATTTAATGTTCATAAGACATCTTATAAATGCCTGATACAGCACTTATTTTTTTAAATATTTTATTAAAATAGAGAACTTAGATCCCATAATCAGCCACTTTATAGTAAGATATAATTAGGTACCATCTTATTTTGGTGTAAAAGAAACATAATTAATGCAGGATTTTTAGTTTTGACAACGATGATGGGTAAGGTAACTGAATAGATATATATATCTGACATTTTTGTAGATTGGTTATTTTTCATACAAATAATAATATCCATTTGTAATAAAAACATTATAACGAATACGTTTTTTAAAAATTAAGTATCTATTAACATATTTAACACTTCAATGGTTTTTTAAAGTTCCATTAACTTGATACTGAAAATTGCTATATATGGTTCATTTATGATAAAATATAAGCCTTTTATCAAAATTAATATTTTTATTAAAACATTCCAGTATTTGCCCAGTACCCAGGTACCTACAAGGAAAGCTTTGACTAAAAATGACATAATCAGACTTATGTGTTTGCTGGGTTCCGACTTAGAAGATAAATTATATTATAATATAAACGTTATGTGGGTATTTAATAATATTAACGGTAATTCTATTGATAAGGATTCTGTTATAGATAATTTAATTGTAACGTATTAGTGAAATGAGATTAAAACGTAATAATTGTATTTTTAAATTGCACGCGATTTGTTTGCGCGCGCATGCGCACCAGCAGCAAAAAATCGTAAACAAAAAACATGTGGCAACATACTGATAACCTTAAGTTCGGTTAAGTTTATCTCGAATCGGATTTACAAATTTTACTTTTGTAAGTGTAAGGTCATATTGTTAGTACGCAACGACTGCCCAAAGGCGATATTATGGTTCTGCAAAACGGCTCAATTTTGAGGTTATACCGCGCGCCAGGATGCACCGAAGCGAAAAAAAATGAAATTCTCAACAAGTTGAAGGGCGAATGTCCGGAAATCAAGTCGCTGGAAACAGAGGAGTGCTTCCACGTCGAAGTCACTAAAAGTTTGAGCAATGAAGAAAAAAACATCCTGAAATGGGTGCTGCAAAATCCGCACCAACCGCAAAGTTTGAACTCCGCCAATTTCCTGAAAAAAACCGCTGCAACTCAACTTCTGATCGAAGTGGGTCCCAGATTTAACTTCTCCACGTCAAACTCAACCAATGCAGTTTCGATATGCAACAATTTGGGCTTAAAACAAGTTACTCGCTTGGAAGTCTCTCGAAGATATCTTCTAACCATTACAGGAAAAATCACCAGCGATCTCGAAACAAAACTGGTCGGACTCCTCCACGACAAAATGACGGAATGTCGCTACACCCCTGAAAACATCCCGAAAAAGAGTTTCAACGAAAAACTCACCAAAAAGGAGAATATCTACCCTGTGGACATCCTCGGGAAAGGCCCTGCAGCCCTGAAAGCCCTAGACAAAGAGTTGGGCTTGGCTTTCGATGAAGCCGACTTGAAATACTACACAAACTTATTCAAAAACGTGCTGAAAAGGAACCCCACCAACGTGGAATGTTTCGATTTGGCCCAATCGAACAGCGAACACTCCAGACATTGGTTTTTCAAGGGAAAAATGATTGTCGATGGTAAAGAATACAAGGAATCTCTGATCGACATGATTTTGGACACGCAAAAACACACCAACCAAAATAATGTTATTAAATTCAGTGATAACAGTAGGTGAGTTTGTTTTTAGTTTGGTTATACGCAGCAATCGTTTAAAGTTTTAAAAATTGAGGTTATGTAATAGAGGTAGCGATAGTGGTCAAAAGTACACTATCGATAGTATCGATAGTGAGAAAAGCGACTATCGATACTATCGATTAACTATCGATAGTTTACTAAAACATCAAAACCGGATAGTTTAACATTTTATTAAAAAAATAAAAGATTTATTTTTATAGTAGGCACATTTTCAACCTACCAAATACAGGAGAGTCAAAAATAGTATAGTATTTCAATATAAATATCTACCTTAGTTATTAAAACCTTTATATCAAAATCTATAATAGCAATCGAGTTTCAAAACATCAACAATAAAATAATTGACATCACATATTTTGACAGTTTACTTGATTCTGTTTTTTTTCTCAGGATTACCACCGTTGGTAAATCTAGGGTCCCTGAAGTTTTTATTTGGAATTTGACGACGTTAAAAACCAACCATATTAATTTCTTTGATACAACTATCGCTAGACGATAGTCTGTCACTATCAATAGGATCGATAATTCGATAATTTTTAAAATATCGAAACTATCGATAAACTATCGATAATATCGCTACCTAATATGTAACCATCAACGTCAAAATTTAAATCAAAAAATAAATATTTATAACGCAATGTGTTTTGTAATAAAAACATAAATGAAATAAGCAACAAATGTTACATTAACTTGGGTTATCTTCTATTAGCGCATACCTATGACGCAAGTACTAACTTATATGTTTTTTTATATACCTACTAACTTACATATATATTGTTTTAAAATATTCATTATTTATCTTATCAATTTATCCCTTTTAAAAATAGCATTAAAATTATGTAATTTGAATGCTAAGTGGAATAATTTAATTTTTGTGGATCACAATAAAAATAATCAATTAATTAATAGTGATAGAGATTTTATAGGTTCATTGGAATATTTGACCCACAATCTATGGATTGTGATTTGACCTTTATGTTTAATTCTTAGTAAGTAGTTGTTTTTCTAGTCTGGTTAGGATGTAATATATTAAAACAAAAAATTTAATTTTAATATCCCAGCAAACACTATCATAAAGATTCTATAATAGCCCTTTATAATAAAGTAAAGGCCCTATAAAGGTTAACTTTAATGGAACTGTACAAGGAAAAATACAAAGCAATGTGTTGTATAAGTAAAACAACAATTTTATTTTAAAAACGGTTTATTGAGTGATAAATGGAATCCATAATATTTTTTCGCCCAGCACATATAAAAATGAATCATATCAAACCTAAAAATGACTGAAAATAATATTTATTGTCTCTAGGGTCGGTAAACTCATATCATCCCTAGGGCCGCTAAACTTGATTTTTGTAGTTTTTCACAATCTAGACACCTTTGATTGACATATATGTATTTTGGCATTTGAGATTTTCAGACGTTTGTGTAAATCAAAATAAACACGGACAACAAAAGAATAAAATAACAATAAAACCTGATTTAAATTTTGTAATAAAGTTAAAATGAATGGTAACTCGGACAGTGACGAAAAATTTACGAATACTTAACCAGATTTAAAAAAGAGGAACCTAGCAATGTTTCTATGAATTTTTTACCTGAGTTAAGACAACGCGTTGCAACGGTATGAAAAGTGCTATGAATTATTTAAAAACTGCACTGAGAAAAAAATGGGACAAATAAACTGTTTACCTAATACTTTTATTTGTAGTGAATATATTGTTTATTACCTCTAAATAGTCGAAATAATAACGATAAATATACTTTAGTAAAACTTTATATGTCGGGAATAAAAATATATTTAGGATAAATAAACTGTACCCTTGTCCCATATTTAATTTTTTTTTTATTTGGGAGCAATAAACTTTTTTCTCCGTGTGGAAAAAGGATCAAAAAGCCAAAAACTTAACAAAAATGTATTAGTTGCTTATCTATCGGAAAGATCAAAGATTGTGAATGCAGAATTTTTAATTTTAAAAAGCACTTAAAAAGTAAAGGAAAATATATGAGTACATTAGATGCAAAACTCGGTTTTTGCAAATTTAAAAAAAAAAAAATTGGCTTTAAATTCTGTTTGGTGTTCGTCCTAGATAAATGGCGTTTATAAAACTTGATACATAATAATATATATAATATAATATTATTATGTATCAAGTTTTATGAACGCCATTTATCTAGGACGAACACTAAACAGAATTTAAAGTCAATTTTATTTTATTTTTTAATTTGCAAAAACCGAGTTTTGCATCTAAGGTACTCATATACAACAAATATGTTTTTTTTTTAACCAAAGGATAATTAAAGGTTCATGTAAGTTTTTTATACAGAACATTTGGCACTTCAATGGTTTTTAAAGTCCCATTAAGTTGATACTGAAAATTGCCATATATTGGTCTTTTATGGTAAAATTTACAAATATTAGCATATCAAAATTAATATTTTTATTAAAACATTTCTGCAAAGGCTCAGTAAAAGGAATGCTTTGGCTAAAAATATTTGTATTAAGCCATGAAACTATGTAATGGGCCATTTCATAATCAGATGTTTGCTGGGTTTTGATTCGCAAAAATAGTAAAACATTTTTTTAAACTCTGCAGTGCAATCAAGGGCTACTCGCACAAAAGCTTGCGCCCAGTGGTGCCTGGGACGCCCAGCGAACTGAAAGAAGTCAAAACCGACTCCCACCTCATTTTCACCGCTGAAACGCACAACTTTCCCACCGGCGTGGCCCCCTTCAGTGGCGCCACCACCGGGACCGGCGGCCGTCTCAGGGACGTGCAATCCGTCGGCAGAGGGGGCTACTGCATAGCCGGAACGGCCGGTTACTCCGTGGGGAATTTAAACATGGAAGACTACGAGCTCCCCTGGGAAGATAAGGAGTTCAAGTACCCGGACAATTTCGCTTCGCCCGTCGATATTTTGGTCGAAGCCAGCAACGGAGCCTCCGACTACGGAAATAAGTTCGGCGAACCTTTGATTTGTGGGTTCGTACGGTCTTTTGGCTTGCAAGATGCATCAGGTACTAATTATATTAATAATGGATATTTTTTAGTGTTCTGAATTTGTTTAAATCATTCCCTTAACATTTTCGTTTAGGTGAAAGGAAAGAGTGGATCAAGCCAATCATGTTCAGCGGCGGTATTGGAAGCATGGAGGCGGACATGACTGAGAAGATGAAGCCGGAAGTTGGACACCAAATTGTGAAAATCGGAGGTCCGGTTTACAGGATCGGTGTTGGAGGCGGGTCCGCCAGCTCCGTGGAGGTACAAGGCGACAACAAAGCTGAATTGGACTTTAATGCTGTCCAAAGAGGTAAGTAATACTATGAACTATTTTAATTTTGATTTCTTGCGACAAAAATGATTTTTTAAATCATATTTACTATTTTATTTATGGTCTTCCTTTTTGAGAAGGTAAAACACTTCTAATAGGCAATACATTTTTTCTATGCCATCTACTTTATATATTTGGAAAAAGCTACTCCTGATTTTTTATAAATAGAAAGCACAAACAAAATTTATACTTCATCCTGATAATTTTACCTTTAAAACCAAGAAAATCATAAATAAAATATGAAATATATTGGTAATTTATTTTTTCTTTGAATTTATCAACAACAAAATAAGTCTAGTAACTCCAAAATGATTTTTTAAATACCATCTACAATTTTAATGCTGGTCTTCCTCTTTGAGAAGGTAAAACCCTTCTAAGAGAACATACATTTTATCTATGCCATCTACTTTTTATATTTCGAAAAAGCTACTCCTGTTTTTTCTAAAATAGATATCACAGACAAAATTTCTACTTTATCCTGATAATTTTTCCTTAAAAACCAAGAAAATCATGAATAAAATATGAAATATATTGGTAATTTATTTTTCTTTAAATTTATCCATAACAAAATAAGTACAGTAACTCCAAAATGATTTTTTAAATACTATCTACAATTTTAATGCTGGTCTTCCTTTTTGAGGCATTAAAACTCTTCTAACAGGACATACATTTTATCTATGCCATCTACTTCTTATATTTCGAAAAAGCTACTCCTGATTCTTCTAAAATAGATAGCACAGACAAAATGTATACTTCATCCTGATAATTTTACCTTAAAAACCAAGAAAATCATGAATAAAATATGAAATATATTGGTACCGTAAACACGGGTGACTTTAACCCTTTTATGAAAAAAATTTTCGCGCTCGATAAAATTAACATTTATAATTTGTTGGTCTAAACTAGGGATGCACCGGATCGGGTATTTTGCCGATCCGGCCGGAACCGGAATTTTGGCCGCTGGCCGGACCGGATCGCCGGAATTCCGGCCGGATCGGGACCTAAATTTAAAATGTATGTGCATGCCTATTTTTATACGTAAAACATTGAAAATATTGAGGCTGATTTATTTTTACTTTTTTTTTAAACTAGCTACAGTATGCTAAGTGTTTATTACTATTAATTTTATCTAGATAGAAATTACTGTTTATTAAAATATTAATTTTTAATTAGCGTTAACAAAATTAAAACAATTCTACTCATTCAATTGGAGAATAGCAGCCACCTGCCAATAATAAAAAAAAATAAAAAGAAGTCGGGGAACCACAGCCGCCGGTCTTTCATAGGCAAGGAAACACGCACACCCTTCACTGTTGACTCTTATAAGACTTATCCATTACAGGGAATTTGGCTGTTATTTTTGCTGTTAGAATTTGGCTGTTAATAATGTTTTCAGTTATTATTTATGTTTTGCAATTTTTGGAAAGAAAATATATATGTTCAAAAAAAAAAATTATTTGTGATTAATTAACGACTTAACAATAGGTGAGTAGGCACCAATTAAAAAAACCTTAAAATAATTTTCTTTATTTTTGCATATATTTGAATTTAAATTATATTAAAAATTTAAAACTTAAACATTTCCAAAAAGTTCCGAAAATTCCGGCCGGAAAGCGATCCGGCCGGAGCGATCCGGCCGGAACGGTAGTTCCGGCCAACTGGCCGGATCGGCCGGATTTAGTGGTACCGCCGGAATTCCGGTGCATCCCTAGTCTAAACCTGTCAATTGAGCGATTCTATTGAGTTTATATTACAGGAAAATCAGTGTTTTAAAGAAAGAAATGGGATTTATTACACTTTAAAATTGTATATATCGCATCAGTGCAATAGTCTTAAAAATACAAACGTTACAATTTCTATATTATGCGCAATCCTTTGGAATGATGATCCTTGGTTAACTACAGGTCGATTTTTTATTTTTTTTATCGGTAATCCCTTGCAATAGATATATCTCGCTTCTAAAAATAAAATATTGAGTTAATTTTATACGGAAAATACACTGTGAGACAAAGTTACCCGCAACCAGGGGGTAACTTTGCACACCCAGTTTTTAATTTTTATTTTTGAAACTCAGCCCTATGTAATATTATAACATAGTTATTATGAAAGAGCAACTCAAGACTCAAATTTTGGTATACAAAATTTAATGTTTATGATTGTTAAAACCACAAAAAATTTAAGCTTAAGTTTGAAAGTGAGCTTAAGCCACGTGTGTTTACGGTAATTTATTTTTTCTTTAAATTTATCTACAACAAAATAAGTATTTGAAAATAATTTTTCAAATACTATCTACTATTTTATTGCTGGTTTTTCTTTTTGCAAAGGTAAAACCTTTTTAATAGGCCATACATTTTATCTATGCCATCAACTTTTTACATTTGGAAAAAGCTACTCCTGATTTTGCAAAAATAGATAGCACATATAAAATGTATACTTCATCCTGATAATTTTACTTTAAAAATCAAGAAAATCATATATGTGACCTGGACTATAGAAAGGTACCTATGGTCGGAATAATCAATTTTTATTTTTTGATCAAAATTTATAGAAAATTGAACGTATTTTCCAATGGAACAAACCGCAGACTCCTAAGTTTTTGCTGGAAATCATCCTTAAATTTCAACATGAACTATAAAAATCGCGAAAAATATTGTAAATAGAACAAGAATTGCTTTTTTTGATCTTTTATTTTCGTCAATATCCTGAAGAGACATATCAAAAGACGAATCTGGTACAACGTCGTCTTCTATGTCACTAACACCTGCACCTCCACCTTGATCTTGGAAGTCTTTATCACAATCCGCAAAATATTGTTTTTCCACTGCTTCTAAATCCATTCTGCACTTTCACAAACTAAAACAATTTTAAATTAGCTGCATAACAACGAAAAAACACGATCTCGAAAATAAAATGACATGAAAAGCAGCACGTATTATTCCAACTTTTTCAACGTTCATAAAATTAGCTATTCAGGGGAAATCACTTGAATAAGGTACAAAAATATTTATTGTAAAAGCACCACTGTATAGTGGAAGTGTAAAGAGAGGTGGAGAGCCAATGGTAAGGCGAAAAAAGAAGAGGTAGAAGCGCAAATACAAACGCGACGCACGGACACGAATTGTTATCTTTAACAGCTGTTTTCTCGAAAACTTGATTTCCAACCATAGGTACCTTTCAGTAGTCCAGGTCACATATAAAACATGAAATATATTGATAATTAATTTTCCTCGTATTTATCAATAACAAGATAAGTACAATAACTCTAAAATGATTTTTCAAGTACTATCTACCATTTTATTGCTGGTCTTCCTCTTTGCAAAGGTAAAACCTTTATAATAGACCATAAATTTTATGTATGCCATCTACTTTTTATATTTGGAGAAAGCTACTCCTGATTTTGCAAAAATAGATAGCACAGACAAAATTTATACTTCATCGTGATAATTTTATCTTGAAAACCAAGAAAATCGTAAATTAAATAACATTTCAAACCAAGCACAGCATCTACAGCATTCGTCGGATGTTTAAGGTGACGCCGAAATGGAACAAAAACTGAACCGCGTGGTGCGCGCATGCCTGGAAATGGGCAGGACCAACCCGATCGTGAGCATACACGACCAAGGCGCCGGCGGCAACGGCAACGTGCTGAAAGAGCTCGTAGAGCCGATCGGCGGCATAATCTACGCCGACCGTTTCGAGCTGGGAGATCCGACCATCAACATTTTGGAATTGTGGGGGGCGGAATATCAGGAGAACAACGCGCTGCTGTGCACCAAGCAGGATGCCGATCTGTTGAAGACGATTTGCAGGAGAGAGAGGTGCCCTGTGAACTTCGTGGGCGAGGTCACGGGCACCGGTCGGGTGGAATTGGCGGTCGACGAGAAAAAATCGCAAATACCGTTTGATTTGGAGTTGGATCACGTTCTCGGGAAAATGCCGCAGAAAGAGTACAATTTGCGGAGATCAACGTCGCAATTGAAGCCCGTGGAGTTCCCTAAAGGTAAAGTACAACTTTTTATTTTATTAAAAATATTCAAAACATGAAATTATATGTAAACTGTTTAAAAATATTTTAAAAATTTAAATTAAATTTAAATTTGGTCAATTTTTATTTCGTATGAGGTTCTATTTTTATATTGTGAAATTTATATTGGAATTATTGTGAGACTAAAAACATTGTTGAACAATTTTTTTTTGTAAACAAGATTTTTAAACTATTTTATTTTATTCTATTATTTTTTAAGTTGCAGTTTCCTATTTATAACACGACAATAATTTTTATTTTACTATTAATTTTATCTACATAAAATTAATTCGGCGCTGTGGTAGTGCGGCTGAAAGTGGCAACTGCAGTAGTTCATGTGCATAGTATGGTATATTTTTTGTATTGAACAAAACTTATTTTTAAGGATTTATAAGCTCAGGCAGGCTTGAGAACAGTTCCAACAATCAATAACACAAAAACCACAAACAGATCTCTCGCATATTGGCGCTAAACTAGACAAACTTTGATAAATTAAACATGCGTACTATATGATCTACTGCAGTTGCCACTTTCGGCCGCACTCCAAAGCGCCGAATTAATTTTATCACAGTGATAAAATTAATTATATAATTTTATCTCTACGATAAAATTAATTCTAAAATTTTTATTAAATAGTCATAATTTTAATTAAATAATAAAAATTCAGTGCATTAATTTTATGTGTACACATAAAATTAATTGTATCATTTTTATTAGAATTAAAATTATGCGTACACATAAAATTAATTATAGCACGCCGTTTTACTTTTTAATTGTATAAGAAATATTAAGTTAAATATTAATGTGTCACAAAAATATTGCACACAGAAAAATTACATTAAATAAATAATTCAACATCTTATATAAACATATTTAAAAAAAGAATAACTTCTTTGACATGTATAATTCTAATTAATGTATTATTTTAAAGGTATTATTTTCCAGTGAAATTTATTTTTAAAGTATTAATATTTAACTTAATATTTATTATCCGATTAAAAAGTGAAACGGCGTGCCATAGTTATCTTTAAAATATCTTTTGCGTTAAGTTGAACAAAAGGTTATTTTTGTGTTTTTTTTTTTGGTTATGTCACTATTTCAATAAAAACATTATATTTTTGAAATAAAAAGTATTTTCCTACATAAAAATGCAGGGTATAAAATAAAATTAAAAATACTAAACAAAAATTAAACATTATTTTTTAATTCGCTGCTTTTGTCAGATGATAATTCAAAGTCTTTTTTATCTACGCTTAATAAAATTCCCGATTATTTTTAATTTTTTAAATTAAATTACCGTGAAAGTGTTTTTTATACTTTTCCATCTTTGAACATTTACCGAATTTTATAGCTATGCGTTACTGTAACGCCCTCTATTATCTATTACATTTATCAACAAAAGTGCTGAGCAACTTACACCTACTGAAGAACATTATAAATTATTCAATCAAAATATGCATTCTTTTAAAGAATATAATACTAAAAAACTATTTTTTTTCTTACATTTTTACCCTTATTTTCCTGCTTCTAATCTTTGCTTGTATACTATTAAATTAATGTCGTAAATTTAATAATTCCAGACTTTAAATATTTAATTAATTAATTTAAGTATACAACCCAAGTGCATATTAATAATTTGATAATTATCATAATTCGTTCTTCAATTTTTGACTTTTTTCTATTCTTATTTTGAATATTGGCAATCTGTAATTCTGCTTATCATTGTTTTTTTTATGAAAATACTTGAAATATTTTTTTTCCATAAAAAAAAAAAAAATTCAGAGTGCCAGATTACTCTTAAAAATTATTCTCCCACTCTTAAAAAGCTAATGCAGGAAATAGGGAAAATAAAGTTGCTTCGTTACAGGTATTACAGTGTACAAGTGCCTTCAACAAGTCCTGCGTCTGCCTAGCGTGGCCAGCAAACGTTATTTAACCAACAAGGTGGATAGGTGCGTGACGGGCTTAATCGCGCAGCAGCAGTGCGTAGGGCCGCTACACACTCCGCTGGCCGATGTTGCCGTCACCGCCATCTCCCACTGTGGTTACGAAGGCATCGCCTCCTCGATCGGAGAGCAGCCTATCAAGGGTTTGGTCAACACTGCCGCGGGGGCGCGCATGACGGTCGCGGAGGCTCTCAGTAATCTAGTGTTCGCTGCTATCACCGACATCCGCGATGTAAAGTGCAGCGGCAACTGGATGTGGGCGGCGAAACTGCCCGGCGAGGGCGCCGCGCTCTTCGACGCCTGCAAAGCCATGTGCGAGATTATGTCCCAACTCGGCATCGCCATCGATGGAGGGAAGGATTCCCTCTCGATGGCCGCCAGAGTTGGCAAGGAAACCGTGAAGTCCCCCGGCACTTTGGTGGTCTCCACTTACGCGCCGTGCCCCGACGTTAGAAAAATCGTCACGCCCGATCTCAAGGTAAGGATGTTAAATGTATCAATAGTTATCGATTATTATCGATAAAATTGCTATCGATATTTGGACGGCTTTCTGCAGAATGGGACCAACCCACACCATGATGAAACTGAGAAAAAAGCTATCAAAGATTTTAATAATTTTAAAATTACCTGTTAATTTTATGCCGATTTTGGACTTACGGAGGTTTAAGGGATATAATTTAATAATTTCATCAGGTGGATTTTGTGATGTTATGTGTAAGGGTGACGAAAAAAATGGGCTTTTGTTGGTTGGTTCCTTTCTGCAATTTATGAAAACTACTATCTGATGTATGTATGTATTTAAAGAAAAGCGACAATTATTTATTTCCAAACAAAATACAACTAATATTACTATTATAATGGTAATATGAATTAATTTTGATTCTATTTGAAATTCGTCCACATCATCTTCCAACCCCACCTCATCTTGTAAGCTACCAAAAAAATGCATCAAGACTTTATATTTTGCAGAAGCAGGAAATCTTTAAAGACTTTGGTAGTGGGTCTACCAGCCTGCTTTTTTACAAAAAAGATCCAACCCACTTGCAGATATTCTACAGATTCTAATTCTGGATTAGTAATCCACACTATTATTGAATGTTGGTTGGTTCAATGATTGATAGATTTCACTACACTTGCATTTTGGCTATGACCTATTTTGCAGATAAATTATACATACTTAATTAGTTCATAGGCTAAATATCTCGATTTTTTTGGTTTCGTGGGTTGGTTCCTTTCTGCAGAAAGGCGTCCATTTATCGATAATTTTTTAAATTAATGATAGTTATCGATAAAAATTCTTCGAATTTCTATTTATTTTTCTATTTTTCCTATAGTCATAGTCTATGCTATAGTACTATAGTTAAAAAAGAGGAAGAATATCCCATAGACAAGAAACGACTAGACGTATAACAGGTTGCAAAAACATTCTTCAACATCCAAGGGATTTTAAACCCGATGTCTGTAAACAAACCTTATGAAGCAAATCAACAAAGCGAAACATTAGACTTTATATGTGTAGTGGTATCTTGTCTATGGAATATCCTAGGGTCCCTATATGTAGTGAAACGTACTTAAATTCATATTCATTTATTTAATAAAGTGGTTTAAAAAGTACGCCAAAATTTATTTTTAATATTTGTTTAAAATTATAATAATTACTTATTTGGTTTTAAGAACAATTTTTGATTATTAAAAATAGTTCTTAAAATCACATAAAATATTTTGTGGTGGGGGAAGTTAATGATACTTATCGATTATTATCGATAATTATTTAAAAATTATCGATAAGTGGTCAATTCTCATATAACTTGTTCCGATGCTGTATCCACTTATTTTTGTGAAAACTAATTCTCGCTCAAGGTTTTTTTTAGTGTAATAAGCATGTAGCATTTCAAGGTAATGGGAACTTAAATTATGACAACCCTAATCTATTAATTTTTTCCTAAAATGCATGCTTTGCAAATGTCACGTAAGTTACCGGTCACCAACTGCAATATCCTAACATCGATGAATATTTCAACAAAATGGCCGTTCAAACAACTAATGTTAGTGCTTGATTAACTAAAAATAGACTTAAGATTGACAAAAAATTATTTTATCCGAAATCGGCAGTAAAGTAGTCAACAATCGTAAATTAAAATAAATCGGCAGTAAAGTTCTACTTTACTGCCGATTTCGGATAAAATAATTTTTCGTCAATCTTAAGTCTATTTTTAGTTAATCAAGCACTAACATTAGTTGTTTCAACAGCCATTTTTTTTAAATATTCATCAATGTTAGGATATTGCAGTTGGTGACCGGTAACTTACGTGACATTTGCAACATAAAGCCTGCATTTAAGGAAAATATTAATAGATTAGGGTTGTCATAATTTAAGTTCCCATTACCTTAAAATGCTACATGCTCATTACACTAAAAAAAAACCTTGAGCGAGAATTAGTTTTCACAAAAATAAATGGATACAGCATCGAAACAAGTTATATGAGAATTTACCAAGTATCGATACATTTTTTTATTGATATTAACATCCCGATCTCAAGGCGCCTTCGATGGGCAAGAGCGGGCGACTGCTTTTCGTCGACTTGTCGCAGGGCGACAGCCGGCTGGGCGGCTCGGCTCTCGCGCAGGTCTTCGGGCAGCTGGGCGACGAATCTCCGGACGTTCACTGCGCCAAGACGCTGAAGAACGCGTTCGAGGCCACGCAGCGACTGGTCAAAGATGGCGCCGTCATCGCCGGTCACGACGTAAGCGACGGCGGTTTGATCGTCACCTTGCTCGAGATGGCGTTCGCCGGCATCTCGGGCATGTACGTCACCATCAAGCATCGATCCGGCAACGCTGTGCCCATCTTGTTCTCCGAGGAGCTCGGCTGGGTGCTCGAGTGCTTCGACGAGGACTTCAAGCACTGCATGGCGGTGTTCCAGGTAAGATTCTCTTGACTTAAACAGTATGGTGTTTCATTTGAAACGAAAACTCTAAAATATGGTTCAAAACTATGGTGTTAAAGTGTCGAAAAAAATACAGAAAAATTGGGGGAAAAACTGTTTTTACCGTTTTTTCCCAGGCCTTGAAAAAATGGGAAAAATTGATTGTTTTTGTAAATAAAATATCACAAAATATTACAAAAAAAATAAAACTTAACAGTAAATTAAATTAAATTGATACAAAATAATAAATGATTTATAAATTAAATTACAAAATTATAATTTTATAAATCGAAATGTCAAATAAAGTTATGTTAATACAGCACCGAATATGTTTTTTTGCGGCCGGTAGAACATTCTTACTAAATAAATTAAATTAAAATAAAATGAATAATTAATATTATGATTATAATCAGAGTCGGAAATTCATTTTTTTTCTCGATATCAGTGCGTGAAAATTTGAAAATTTAAGAAAAATTGACTTTTGCATTTTTTCGTATTACCCTTTGAATAATGTTAATATAAACTACACTGTTTAAAAGTTTCACTATTTTATTTAAATATGACAATTGTTTCGCTACATAAAAATTTTATATTTAATATAAAAAAAATTAAATTTAAAAAATCAATTTTTCTGAAAATTTGACAATTTTTCCTTTTTTTCGAAAAAAAAACGGTTTTTTCCGCCGGCTCAATTTTTCCGGAAAAAAATCCCTTATAATTTGATTTTAAGTACTTTTTTTTTAATTTTTCCCATTTAAAAAGCATGTATTTTCACGTATTTTTGAAAATATTAAGATAATGGCTTGTTTTACCAAAAAATGTCCAAGAAAAAAATTCTAGGAAATTTAATTTTCTTCAAAAAATTCAAGTGCATAATTTACAAGATATGAGCAGTTAATATTTACAAATTTGAAAAATTTGTGTTTTATTGAGATTAATAAAAGACTATTAAATGTTTTTTCTTAAATACGACCAAATTTAAAGAGGAAATTGAAAAATTGATACCTTATTAATTTTTTTGGTTTTAAATTATGAATTTTTATTGTGTAAAATTTAGAGTCGATTAAATTTAAAATATTAATCTCATTAAAACACAAGATTTTCAAATTTTTAAATATTAAACTGCTCATTAGGGTGAGCCAAAAAAACTAACCTATCGTATTTATGGGTAAAAATGAACCTACATACCGAGCAAAAAATTTCTCTGCAAGGCAAAATTTTTTGCTCAATTTTAAAAGGTGTCGGTGAGCATTAAAAAATCCCTAAAACTGCAGTTTTAGTGATTTTTTACACTTTTCAAAGCTTTCAAACATACGATTTTTTTAATTAAAAAAAATAATCCTGGTATAGATTCTTTGGGAAATTTTATGCTCTACAAGAATCCGCGACGTAAAAATTTTTATCTCAAACGGTTCAAAAGTTATAGTCTTTTTAATGAAAAAAGAGTTTTTTACGTGTTATTTCAATGGAAAACTTAGAATGCTCACCGACACCTTTTAAAATTGAGCAAAAAATTTTGCCTTGCAGGGAATTTTTTTGCTCGGTATGTAGGTTCATTTTAACCCATAAATCCGATAGGTTAGTTTTTTTGGCTCACCCTACTGCTCATGTCTTGTAAACTGAGCACTTTAACAATAATATTTTCAAAAATATGTAAAAAAGTAAAAAAAAAATTACCAGAGCTGATACTATCAAGGTGAATCTAGTTAAAGACAAATTCTTGTAAGTAACAATGAACCACAATATATACAATATATACAGTGTTGGCCATAATTTTTGCAACCACTATAAAAAAAATATAACTCTAAAACGACTTATATCTCAGTTTACGTGTTCGATGGTTTTTCGAGAAAATATTTTTAAAGCCATTTTATTTAATAATGAAAAAAAAGTTCGATGCAGCGATTCAAAGTCGTCAAAAATGACCACTTTTAAGCAAAATAATCAAAAAGGGGCCATTTTTACCGACTTGAAGCGCTGTATCTTCGTTACTGTACAAAATTTTTGAGGTATACTAACAAAAATACGGTCTTTAACATCATATTTTTTATTTACTAAAAGTTATTAAATGTTTAAAAATATTTTCTCGAAAAACCCTCGAACACGTAAACTGAGTATAAGTTGAAGTATTTTTATCCAAAATTTCATAAAGAATAATAAAGGCGTTTTAGAGTTAGATTTTTTACAGTTGTTGCACCTAGCAACCTAGCAAAGATATAGAAATTTAAAAAAAGGGATTGAAAATACATGCATTTTATTTGGGAAAATTTTAAAATGAAAAAGAAAGTAGGTACTTAAAATCAATTTTAACGGCTCAAACTTCGAGGGATTTTTTTTTCGATGTTTTAAACAATGTTTTGGAGTTTTGGTGAAAAAAAACAGTCGTTCCAAATGAAACACCCTACTGAACAGCCTAAAAAAGTAGATGTTGACATTTTTTTTAATGGAGATAAGGTATGGGATTTTAAAAATATTGAAATCAAAATTTGCGATTGGCGAGTATTTGAATTAAGACGTCCAATTTTTAACAAACAGTTAAAATAACCTGTTAATTAATACTACTATACTACTACTAAATACTACTATACTACCACTAAATACTACTATCTAAATTACCTTTAAGCACACTGTGCTTTAAGGGTTGCATATTTTATTAAATGCTATTAAGTGTTATTTACAGTGGTGTTACCCATTAAGGGTGATTGAATCACCACTGTAAATTTTTTAGAAAACCAACTTATTGCATTTAATAAAATATTCAGCCCTTAAAGATAATTTAAATATTATTGATGTAACGTCTTAAAAATGATATTGTAGAAATTCGATGTGCCCGTGTACGACATTGGCAAGAGTTGCGGCTACGGTTTCCAAAAAACCGACATCGTGATCAACGTCAACAACGTCACCTTAGAAACTCCCTTGCTGCGCATGATGAAAATGTGGGAGGAGACCAGCTACAAACTGGAGCTGCGTCAAACCATAAAGGCCTGCGCCGATTCCGAATACGAAGGTTTAGGGGACAGGAAGGCGCCCCGATACAAACTCACCTTCAACCCCGACGAAGAATCCAAGGTTAAATCCGACAAGGACGTCCACGTCGCCGTCGTCAGAGAGGAGGGCACCAACGGGGACAGGGAAATGGCCGCGGCGCTCGTACAAGTGGGATTCAAGGTGTGGGACATCACGATGCAAGATTTGCTCAGCGGGGCCGTTACTTTGGACAAATTTAGAGGCGTTATTTTCCCTGGAGGATTCAGCTATGCCGGTAAGATATTTTTATACAGGGTGTTTCATAATATATGCGCAGGACTTCAGGATGTGATAGCTCATCCAAAAAGATGAAAAAAGTCGCTATTAAGTTACGCTCTAAAATGCACAATTTTCGAGATACAGGGTGTTGAAATTTTAGAAAAAAATTCGTTTTTTTCGAATATCTCCGGAACCGTTTATCGTACAAAAAACTGCTTTTGTAAGCATTTTCTACTCAAAATAAGCTATGTTTTGTGCTAGAAAAAATTTTTTTTCCTCATAATTGGTGGAGATTTTGAAGGGGTAGCGGGTGTTTTTCTCCTCAACTTCTACGCCCCTGAAAAAAGTACGGTTTTGAGAGGCCCATTCGAACGAATGTTTTCTACACAAAAAAGGTACTCCTGGTCATAAGCTCTAAAGTTGACCGTTTTCGAGAAAAATCAACTTTTATGTTTAAAAACATGGTCAAAAAAAAATATTTTTTTTTACTAATTAAACAAAATTTATTTTAACGTTAGGACAAGTAACAAAACCAAACCATAATTGCAAAATAAAAAATGATTTAAAAGTTGTCTTTGCTTAATTCTCCAAACCGTAAAGGTAACGCATTTCGCACATTTCAGCATTTAAGTAAAAAATTTTGCAATTATCGTTTGGTTTTGTTACTTTTTCTAACGTTAAAATAAATTTTGTTTAATTAGTAATAAAAATTTTTATTCAAAAAATTGACCATGTTTTTAAACATAAAAGTTGATTTTTCTCGAAAACGGTCAACTTTAGAGCTTATGACCAAGAGTACCTTTTTTCTGTAGAAAACATTGGCGGTTCGAATGGGCCTCTCAAAACCGTACTTTTTTTCAGGGGCGTTGAAGTTGAGGAGAAAAACACCCGCTACCCCTTCAAAATCTCCACCAATTATGAGTAAAAAAAATTTTTTTCTGGCACAAAACATAGCTTATTATGAGTAGAAAATGCTTACAAAAGCTGTTTTTTGTACGATAAACGGTTCCAGAGATAATCTAAAAAAACGATTTTTTTTCTAAAATTTCAACACCCTGTATCTCGAAAATTGGGCATTTTAGAGGGTAAGTTAATGGCCACTTTTTTCATCTTTTTGGATGAGCTATCACATCCTGAAGTCCTGCGCATATATTATGAAACACCCTGTATATTATTATATTCTCGAAACTAATCTATAAAAACAAACACTGTTTATTAAGTTTTAGGTCTTTATTTTAATTTGATAATTGTTATCCTGATACAGTAGCTTATCATCAAAATTATCGAAACAATTGTCTAATTAAAATAAAGTCGCGAAACTTCAAAACAGTGTTTGTTTTTATAAAAAGTTAATCCTGATTTTTCAAAAATAGATAGTATACTTTATCCTGATAATTTTTCATTAAAAATCAAGAAAATCATAAATAAAATATGAAATACACTTCTCCAAGAAATTAACGCACCACTAAAAAATAAACAACAGTTTTAAGTAATTTTTTTTTAAATAATAGGTTGTCCCTTTTACAATGTTGTTATAGTAACTGTATTCCGATAGAAACCTCTTTTTTTTTTCAAGTACCGGGTGTAGCAATTTTAGCGTATTTTTTCCATAAAATTTGTGCCCTGTAGAGTTAAATAGCTACAATATCAAGTAAGAATTGGAATCAAACTTTAGCCTTATCTTTTTTTTGCATTTTGTTTTTTTATTTACTCCATTATCTTTCATATTACACGATCATAAATAAATTATGAAATATGTTGGTAATTTATTTTTTCTTCAAATTTATCATTTACAAAATAAGTACAGTCCTCCAAAATGATTTTTAAAATACTATCTACTGTTTTACTGCTAGTCTTCCTCTTTGAAAAGGTAAAACCTTTCTAATAGGTCATATATTTGGAAAAAGCTACTCCTGATTTATCAAAAATAGATGACGTAGACAAAATTTATACTTCATCCTGATAATTTTGCCTTAAAAACCAAGAAAATCATAAATAAATTATGAAATATGTTGGTAATTTATTATTCCTTCGAATTTATCAACAACAAAATAAGTACAGTAGCTTCAAAACGATTTTTAAAATATTATCCACTGTTTTATTGCTGGTCTTTCTCTTTGGAAAGGTAAAACCTTTCTAATAGGCCATACATTTTATATATGCCATCTACTTTTCATATTTGGAAAAAGCTAATTCTGATTTATCAAAAATAGATGGCATAGATAAAATTTATACTTCATCCTGATAATTTTACCTTAAAAACCAAGAAAATCAAAAATAAAATATATTAATAATTTATTTTTTTATGAATTAACAACAAAATAAGTACAGGGTGTCCCAAATTGGTTGTCCGTATAGGCTATCTCAGTAAATATAAATGCTAGAAAAAATTAGACCACGCATCCCCGTCGTCTTTTTTAAAGATACATCGGTTGATGTCTTTGAATTTTCTCGATTCGCATTTATTTAGGAGATATACCTATTTTTTCAATTTTTGCCAATTTTGACAAATGCTTGTAGCTTCGTTAATATTTGAGTTACGAATGCAGGTTTAAAATATTATGTAGGCACTTTTTATCATAGAATTCATTAGTGTAGACAGATTTTTTTTAGCTCTTTTAGGTTAAGAGATATGACCCTATACGGACAACCAATTTGGGACACCCTGTACAGTAACTCCAAAATGATTTTTAAAATACTATATACTGTTTTTATTGCTGGTCTTCCTCTTTGTCTTCCTTTCTAATAGGCCATACATTTCATCTATGCCATCTACTTTTTATATTTGGAAAAAGCTACTCCTGATTTATCAAAAATAGATGGCATAGACAAAATTTATACTTAATCCTGATAATTTTACTTTAAAATCCAATCATAAATAAATTATGAAATATGTTGGTAATTTATTTTTTCTTCTAATTTATCAACAACAAAATATGTACAGTAACTCCAAAATAATTTTTAAAATACTATCTACTGTTTTATTGCTGGTTTTCCTCTTTGGGGAGGTAAAACCTTTCTAATAAACCATACATTTTATCTATGCCATCTGCTTTTCATATTTGGAAAAAGCTACTCCTGATTTATCAAAAATAGATGTCATAGACAAAATTTATACTTCATCCTGATAATTGTACCTTAAAAACCAAGAAAATCATAAATAAATTATGATATATGTTGGTAATTTATTTTTTCTTCGAATTTATCAACAAATAAATAAGTATAGTAACCCCAAAATGATTTTTAAAATTCTATCTAGTGTTTTATTGCTGGTCTTTCTCTTTAGCGAGATATAACCTTTATAATAGACCATACATGTTGTCTATGCCATCTACTTTTCATATTTGGAAAAAGCTACTCCTGATTTATCAAAAATAGATGGCGTAGACAAAATTTATACTTCATACTTATAATTGTACCTTAAAAACCAAGAAAATCATAAATAAATTATGACATATCATATGTCACATATGTTGTTAATTTATTTTTTCTTCGAATTTATCAACAACAAAATAAGTACAGTAGCTCCAAAACGATTTTTAAAATTCTATCTAGTGTTTTATTGTTGGTCTTCCTCTTTAGCGAGATAAAACCTTTATAATAGACCATATGTACATGTTGTCTATGCCATCTACTTTTTATATTTGGAAAAAGCTACTCCTGATTTATCAAAAATAGATGTCATAAACAAAATTTATACTTCATCCTGATACTTTTACCTTAAAAAGCCAAGAAAATCATAAATAAATTATGAAATATGTTTGTAATTTATTTTTTCTTCGAATTTATCCAACAAAATAACTAAAGTAACCCCAAAATGATTTTTAAAATTCTATCTACTGTTTTATTGCTGGTCTTCTTTTTTGGAAAGGTAAAACCTTTTTATTTATGCCATCTACTTTTTATACTTGGAAAAAGCTACTTCTGATTTATCAAAAATAGATGGCATAGACAAAATTTATACTTTATCCTGATAATTTTATCTTAAAAACCAAGAAAATCATAAATAAAATATGAAATTTATTGGTAAATTATTTTTTTATTTTTTATCAACAACAAAATAAGTACAGTAACCCCAAAATGATTTTTAAAATTCTATCTACTGTTTAATTGCTGGTCTTCCTCTTTGGAAAGGTAAAACCTTTCCAATAGGCCATACATTTTATCTATGCCATCTACTTTTCATATTTGGAAAAAGCTATTCCTGATTTATCAAAAATAGATAGCATATACATAATTATACTTCATTCTGATAATTTACCTTAAAAAACAAGAAAATCATAAATAATTAATAAAATATAGTTATAAGTAATTTATTTTTTTATGATTTATCAACAACAAAATAAGTACAGTAACTCCAAAATGATTTTTCAAATACTAATTACTATTTTATTGCTCTTTGCAAAGGTAAAACCTTTTTAATAGGCCATAAATTTTATCTATGCCATCTACTTTTTATATTTGGAAAAAGCTACTACTGATTTATCAAAAATAGATAGCATAGACAAAATATAGGAGTTTCATAAAGGTCAAAACAATAAAATAGATGCTTCTTTAAGATGTTCTCGGGTCTGCCAAGGGCTGGGCAGCCAGCATCCTCTTCAACGAAAAGGTCAGCCAACAATTCAAAAAGTTCTTCGCGCGCCCGGACACCTTCAGCCTGGGCGTGTGCAACGGTTGCCAACTGATGGGCCTAATCGGCTGGGTGGGCAGCCCTGTAACCGGCGACGTTAAACCGGACGTCGTTCTCGAACACAACCTATCCGAGAGATTCGAGTGCAGGTGGAGCACCGTGAAGATAGAAAAATCCAGGGCCATCATGCTGCAAGGCATGGAAGAGTCCGTGTTGGGCGTGTGGGTGGCCCACGGCGAAGGACGGTTCACCTTCAAAGACGAAGAAGTCTACCGAAAATTAGTTGACGGCGGCTGCGTCGGGTTGCGTTACGTGGATGACGACGGCAGCCCCACGGAAGTCTACCCGATGAACCCCAACGGCAGTGTGGAAGGTCTCGCCGGGGTTTGCTCCCCGGACGGGAGACACTTGGCGATGATGCCGCACCCGGAGAGGTGCGTGCAACCGTTCCAGTGGCCCTACATTCCGAGAGACTGGATACATCACCAGAAAAGCCCGTGGGAGAGGATGTTCAGAAACGCTTACGAATGGTGTTTGCACGAGGAGTCCCATGGGGTTTACTATTAGCTTTTGCTTGGAATTATTTTTGCTATATTATCCCTACATTTAATTTGTTAAGTTTAAGCATTTATCTTTATACTTTTACTGTTAATAGATTGTTTATATTTTCATTTGAGTTTTATTTAATATTTCACATTCTGGGAAAACTAGGGTTTTAAAATTTCCAGAAAAATTGAGACCACGAAAAATTGAGTTTTGTATCAACAACAAAATGATGTAAAACCATCTACTTTTTATATTTGGAAAAAGCTACTCCTGATTTTTCAAAAATAGTTAGCATAGATTTATACTTTATCCTGATATTTTTTTCTAACTTATAAACAACAAAATGATTTTTCAAATACTCTCTACTGTTTTATTGCTGGTATTCTTCTTTAGCAAGGTAAAATCTTTCTAATATGAGATTCAGTTTATCTATGCCATCTACTTTTTATATTTGGAAAAGCTAATCCTGATTTATAAAAAAAATTGTGAAATTTTTAGAAAAATTGCCTTTTTGCATTTTTTAAATTTTATTCCAAGGGTAATACATAGATATGGAAATCCATTTTAAGTAAAGTTCCCATTTTGGAAAGTTTTCAGCCGGGAATGTATTTTCATTTTGAAAGTTTCTTTTAAAGTTACCGGAAACTTTTCCTATTTTTTTATAACAATTCATAATTTGTGTTTTACTTTTGCAATTATTTTTTATGGGTAATGGTGATCAAAAATATTGATTTTAATTTGCCTGTAGTTTTTTTACTATTTTATTGGTCAGAACTGCAATACTATTTTTAGTATCTTTTACTTTTTCTTATTCCTATATAGTAACTTTGTTCCTTTATATTTTTTTATGAAATATCTAGTGATTCTGATGGTTAACGGTTTATTTTTTAAGTTCCAGCATACAATGCATTATGTATACATTTATAAAAACATTTTTTTATTTTTTTCTTAATAAACTTTAGCACTAAAAACTCATTTTAGCTATAATTTTTTTTAACTTTGGGAAAGTTTCGGGAAATTTCGATAACTAATACGAAAAAATGCAAAGGTCAATTTTTCTGAAAATTTCCAAATATCTGATTTCAAGGAAGTGAATTTTTAAATCTGATTATAATTATATAATACATGATTATAAAAATTATTCCCATTATTATAATTCAGTAAAAATCTTCTACCGGGTCGCAAAAAAACAAATAAAACTGTAGTTTTATTTGACAACATCGATTTAGGTATAACATTATAATTTTGTAATTTAACTTTATAAATCATTCTTTATTTTGTAAATGGATATTTTTATTGGACCCCCTTTTGCAAAAAGGAATTAACCGACAGTATATTTGACGTTTAAATCTTAAATCAATTTAATTTAATTTAATGTTTAGTTTTTTTGTTTTTTCTGTAATAAATTTATGGAAACATTTTTTAATTAAAATAAAGTTAAGTTGTTAATTGCTGTGTATATTTTCAGAAAAAAAATTAATTTTTTACAAATAAGACATTTTTTCCGACAATTTAAAACCCTACTGAAAACTAGGAGTCACAAAATAAAAGTCGTTCATTAATAAAAAATTATTTAATTTTGGTTGCCTTCACTAAGCAAGATATAAAGGACTTTCAAAGCAGTCTTAATAGCATTTGAAATTATGTACACAATCATTAAGTGCGACAACAAATTCAAATTTATTTTTAGATAAAATATTTGAATTTCCTCTACAAAACAAAGAGGGTAACTTGTCCACCGACTATATATTTTTAGATAGAAGTAAATTTAGATTGTTGTCATTCTTAATACAAAATACATTTATTGTTCAATAGTTTTTTGGTGCCTTTTAAATTAGAAGTACAATTTACAAATAAGCAATATTTTACCATTTTTCTCATTAAGCACAAAAAGTTAGCTTAGTGCATATATCTATTTATTGAAAAATAAATATGAAATTGCGTTTTAACAATTTGAATTTATATATTACACCGTAAATTATACAAATATACATTTATTTAATTTATCTTTCTTTACAAATGAATTAAAGTGTCGATGAATCAATTAAGGAATAATAATCTAAATAATTGCACATTAGTTCCATGACAAAAACACATTAAACGCTGAACAAGTTCATATTTACAGCATCAGGCGAATGCGTCTTCAACTACGAAATGTTATTATTAAATTTAAAAATGCTTTTTTGATATACATCTTTTTATAGAGAGGCAGTACATTGTCGTTAACATTGCTGTTTTGTCATGAAACTTTTGTTTAGGAAACTCGTGTTACACAAACCACCCGCGAGCGACTTTCAACCTGTTTAAATCGGAACCAAAATTAATTTACCCTGTAAGTTGATTATACTTCAGAATTTCTTTATAGTTTCTAGCGCCGCTCGCATTTTGGCTTCGGTAACACGAATACGCACCAATTTCACCAAAATCTCAACAATTTCATATTTAAATGCAAAATTGACTTAGCCTACAGGAGATCCCACGTTACATTTTTTAAAGATTTTATTTTCATAACTGGTTTGTTTTATTTCATCATTTTTAGTGATCTATTCCATAGTATTAACAAATCAGCCATGAAAATGAGAAAACCCCTAAAAAATGCGGCATAAAATCTCCCCTATACAGAACATGGGGGTTTCATCAGATCAAATAATTCCAGTTACTTGTGTGTGAGGGTGGGGGAGTACATTTGTTTTTTTAGTTGGTTAAGTTGTCCCACCTGAGATCGAGAGAGGGCGCTGAGCGTGGACTAGTGCTAATTGTTGTTGTATTGGTTGTTTTCGGTGTTAGAGGGGACTGCAAGTGCCTGTGTCTAATCACCTCACGCTCTACCGGAATCATTCCGTATTCCTGGCGAAATTATTCCTGTTAATGTCAATTACAAGTGCAATTTTACTTTACCGCTCGAATAAGTGGGGGGAAATATAACAACAAACCTTTTTTTCAGTTTTTGCATACAGTTCTTTTTTTTATTTGGACTCTGTTTTCTTATTAAGTTGGTAGCTTATGAAGGGTTTATTTAGTATTTTTAGTATTTAAAAAGTGGTACTTCTGCTAAAAACTTAATTACCTAAATACTCTGACACTGTCAAATTGACAGTAATATTATTGATAATTTACTTGTTAATTATTATATAATATTGATATAAAAAGATAACTATGCCAAAAATAATATCAGATTCTAAAGTAAAAAAACTTTTAAGGGCAAAACTTCATTGCCTCAAAGGCAGAAAAAGTATATATTAAATCACACATTATTTTTAGCTAAGCAAATCAAAAATGTTTGAAATTTTAAAAAATAAGGGGGAATTATGTGCTGTTAGGTTTAACATTTATGTGAAACGTCTAGTAGTTAATTTTCCGGTCTTTGAAAATAGCATCCAATTGGTTTGAAAAAGATAAGCAATACTCACGAAACTTTTTTTTCTTTTAATTTGCAACTTACTGATTATTAATAGTCCTGTTCAATATACAGGGTGTCCTGAAATTAGTGCACCATACCATAACAGCAGATCCTACGTGCAAAAATAAGAAAAAAAGTCCCTATAAACATAGGTCAAGAAATGCCTCTTAAGGGAGCTACAGCCCCCAAAAGGAAAGCCCCTGAAGATGGTTTTTATTTTATCCAAAACCGTTAAAGATAGAAAAGTAAAATTTAGGGAATTAATTAAACTTTTTATGACCAAAAAGACGTAACAATAACAATTTAAAAAATTTCATGAGGTTTGGGTCAGATTGATAGGGAGTGGGGTGAAAACCACCTTAACTTTTTTGTACGTATCTTGTACCAGAATTTGATGTCAGATTATGAAATTTTGGAGTTTTGCACATAAAAAAGGTCATCCTGTTGAACTTCGTTAACATACACCGTTTTCGCTTAAAATCGATTTGAAAATTATTTTACATGGTATAAAAATTCACAATTAAATCACAACCATAGAAATGGACTCGCGTGGTCCTTGAAATACGACTGCCATGTTTAGTAAAAAATAGAATAATTCAAGACAGGTGACAGTTTCATGTAGTAAGTGACAGTTTCATGTAGTAAGTGACAGGGTGTTTCTACTTTTTTATAAACATTAGATAAAAAACATATTTAGGGGCTCCCTTTTCGGGGGCTGTAGCTCCCTTAGGAGGCATTTCTCGATCTATATTTATAGGGACTTTTTTTCTTATTTTTGCACGTGGAATCTGCTGTTAAAGTATGGTGCACTAATTTCGGAACACCATGTATACATGATAATTATTATTAAGCCACTACAAGTATTAACGTCCAGTGGCTTTAACAAAATACCCATTCACCATTGGAGTCCAACGATTGGACAACATTCACGTGTGTTCACATAAAAGTTTAATTTCTTTTATATAAATTCTTTTCAAAGCGAAGATTATTATCCGCTAGGAATACTTTCTCTTCTGGGCCGTAAAGCAACCTATATTTAACTACTTTTTATATGATTTTACTCGTCTACGCAGCACCAAAGCCAAATTAATTGCATTTTTAACTACGAATTTTGACAACTCAACTAACTATAGTTATAACCTACAATAACTTAAACATAACCAAAATTACATTTATAATTTATAGTTTAGTTTGTTTTAATCAATGCAACCAATTTTGGTTCCGTCTTTACCAACCAAACCCCTAAATTTGCAACGTTGCCGCAGTCCAGATAAAAAAAAGAACTATTACAAAAATTAATTAGCAAATGCTTATTTCACTTACGATACACAAACACCGGTATGGTGGTTATGAAACGAAAACTCGTTGACCAGATTGAACCAGATTCAAATGTTACAAACAGTTTTGCACAGGCATACGCTATGCACGGGTGTATTACTACGATTTCTTTTGAGTTTTATCCGAAATTATTGTTTTTTTTCGTAAAGTTTTTACTGCATTTATTGAGCAGCAATAACTATTTACAAGCCACGCATGGGTGTTTTATACCAGGTTATTTAGTTTGTGTTATATTTGTTGGATATAATAACTATTTAAAATATGCCGGGCTGTGCTGTAGCAGACAGCAGAAATATGAACAGAAACTCCAACACACAACCTAACCTAACATTAAATATTTTTGATTTTCAAAAAATAAAGATCTGGCAGCACAGTGGATGAATGCATGCAAGGGAAAGGATAAAAAGAAAATAAAAACGGTAAGTAAAGGCAATTTTTGGTATACCCAATTTCATGTTAGGTACTTATAGTAACTTTTTACCCTAACCACAAATTTTTTTACAGCTTGCATAAGTTCTTACTAATAATAAATATTAAAATACAATTGTATCGGAAACCCGCTTCAAAAGTGTCACAAAGCAGTTATCGAGATTATTTTTACTTTTGACACTGCCAATTTAACTTTCTCTTAACTTTTGTTATAAATTTTCGAATATAAAGTGAATTTGCAGTGCAAATAACATTCCAACCCAGTTACCCGCCAGCTTTTGTTTCGCAGCATACCGGTGTTTGTGTAACGTGATTTCACTCAAAAAGGTTCATTATTCTACGGTTAAAAACCTAACTAAGCGTTCAATTAAAAAATATTTTTACCTGTAGAGACGACCCCTCGTCTCAGGAGTCCGTACTTTTGCTTTTCCGTCCGCGCAAAGAACCGACTATCGATTTTAAAGCAGCGCCGATGCTGCTACCCGGAGTATTTAAACTGGAATTGCTGTTGCCCAAGCCTTGCGGATGAGCGTCCAAACATTTTTGGTATCTCAGCTAAAAGTAAAACGAACTTACCAATTGAAATTATCCAGGTAAACCGTTTTTAAATATCTGTGTCCCCAGAACAAACCGTTACAATGACAATGATCATGATATTTTATAATTTTTTTTAAATCAAATATCAAATCAAAATATTGCCAGGTGTTTTAAACTTGTCAAATTACAAATATTTAACTTTTTTTACTTACCTTGCAGGCAGCTTCTATTGTTTTGCACAGCGCTCCCGACGAAGGTTCGCAATAAAAAACGTGCGCCATGAACGTGTCCTGAGCAGTGTGCATTATGAACGCCGAATGCTTGATTAATTTACCTATGCCTAGAAACGAGAGGTACCTAACCCTACATTCAGCTAACAACCGGTCATCCTAAAAGGAAAAAAAGTTGACAAAATGTTATGCAAAATACGACTTGATGTTAAAATAACTTAATTAGTTACAGTAAAAATTGTAAATAAAATCAAAATAAATCAATAATTAAAACAAAAAATCCTAAAAAAAATATTAAATAAAAAAATTAACAAAATTAACTAAAATATTACATTTTTAAAATTGGTATTAAAACAAAGTGTGCGTAATATTTTAGTCGAAATTTATTTTTGTTGATTTTTTTGTTTTTTTTTAATTTTGTTCAGGATCTTTTATTTTAAACATTTTTTTTAGTTTTTTTTAATTTAAGGTCATTTTTTTAGACAGTTTAATACTGTTTGGGTCATTTTAGACAGTTTTATTGATAATTTTAGTTAAATAGTTTGGGACATTTAGGACATTTTTAAGAGTTTGTGTAATTTTTAAGTTTGGTTCTTTTTAGACAGTATAGTTTGGGTCATTTTAGACAGTTTAGACCGTTTTAAGAACATTTTTAGATAGTTTATTAAAGTTTGGTTCTTTTTAGACAGTTTTGAGAATATTTTTACACAGTTAAATTTAGTTTGGGCTATTTTAAATAGTTTTAAGGACTTTTTAATTTTTAGTTTGGGTCATTTTAGACAGGTTTGTACGTTTTCTGAGAACGTACAAACCTGTCTAAAATGACCCAAACTAAATTAAACTGTCTAAAAAGTCCTTAAAACTATCTAAAATGACCCAAACTAAATTTAACTGTGTAAGAATATCCTTAAAACTGTCTAAAAAGAACCAAACTTTAATAAACTGTCTAAAAATGTCCTTAAAAGTTTCTAAACTCTTAAATGACTTAAACAGTATTAAACTGTCTAAAAAGTCTTTCAAACTATCTAAAATGACCCAAACTAAATTTAACTGTAAAAATATCCTTAAAACTGTCTAAAAAGAACCAAACTTTAATAAACTATCCTTAAAACTTTCTAAACTCTTAAATGACCAAAACTGTCTTAAAAAGTCCTTAAAACTACCTAAAATTACTCAAACCAAATTTAACTGTGTAAAAATATCCTTAAAACTGTCTAAAAACAACTTTATTATACTGGCTTAAAACCCAAACCCAAACTGTATTAAACTGTCTAAAAAGTCGTTAAAACTATCTAAAAAGATTCAAACTAAATTTAACTGTGTGAAAATATCCTTAAAACTGTCTAAAAATGTCCTTGAAACTTTTTAAACTCTTAAATGACCCAATCTGTTTAAAACTGTCTAAAAGGTCCTTAAAACTATCTAAAATGACCTACATCAAATTTAACTTAAATTACCCAAACTTTATTAAACTGTCTAAAAATGTCCTTAAAACTGTCTAAAATGACCAAAAATAAATTTAACTGCGTAAAAATATTCTCAAAAGTGTCTAAAAAACAAACTTAATTAAACCTTCTTAAAATGTCCTCAAACTGTCTAAAATGACCCAAACTGTATTAAACTGTTTAAAAAGTCCTTAAAACTATCTAAAATGAGCCAAACTAAATTTAACTGTATAAAAATATCCTCAAAACTGTCTTAAAAGAACCAAACTTTAATATTACCCAAACTCTCTAAAAAAATCCTTAAAACTGTCCATAATGACCCAATCTATATTTAACTAAACCAAAACAGTAGTAAACTGTTTTAAAAAATAAAACTCTTAAAAAATCAAAAATTAAAAAAAAACAAAAAAAATTAACAAAAATACATCGACTAAAATATTTTAATATTATACTTTTTTGTGGTTTTTTACCCACTTACCGTGGGATGATGTATCGATATCATAGAGGGCGCTATCGAGATGTTGACGGGCTGCCACTGGTCCTGGGGCACAGTGTTGACCAATCTCTCGATGGCCTCGTTCAGCGTGTCCATGCCAGTGGCTTGCGCTACCTGGGTGCAGCCTAAGTACTGCGACCTGAGTATCTTTTTTGGTTCTTCCATTGGCGTGGGAAACGACTGGGCTGCAAGAACGAAAAGTGTGCGGGGGGGGGGGGGAATTCGCGGGTTTGATTCACAGATCACCAAAACAAATGGACGGATTTGTTTACGTTTAAAAAGCGAGTAAAGCATAGTTTCACATTCTAAACACCGTCGAAAGAAACACGGCTTACAACGTTGACAGAAGTATAGATTACACGCCTTTTTGGACGTTCATCATAACATAAAGAACATTAATAATTACCAGTAATTCGTTTCAATAATAAAAAAATTGTAAAAAGGATTTGTTCATCATTTTCTTTAGATATTTTTCTCTATTTAAAGAAAGTAAATCATTTAATAATTATTAAAATTAAATATTAACAACGTTGGTAAATTCTTCATATTTGACAGCATAGAAAAAGGTTATGTTCTGTGGGTTGACAGCTTGTTGTTTTGTGTTTTCGTTTGTGTATTTCTATCGTGTTTAAGTTAATTATGGAGTTTAAATACATTATTTTTTACTAAAAATAACAATACATAGAAATATCGTTTGTAAGTACCTACCTACTTATTATTTTTTTTAATCCCAATACGTCACTGGAAGAAAACATAAAATTCTATCGCCAGTTTAACGCTTAACTGTGACCGTTTGTTGACGTCACTGGAAGAAAACATAAAATTCTATCTCCAATTTGACGCTTAGACTGTGACCGTTTGTTGACCGCAAACAAAGCATTGTTATTGAATGGCAATGCGCCGTCCATTTGTTTTGGTGGTCTGTGGTTTGATTCGATCGTTGCACTTACAAACAAACATCTGGTTGGTTCTGGCGGGCCTGCGGTGCTCGGTGGGCAGGTTGTTCGGCCTGGTGGCCTGCGAGCTCCTTCCGTTCACGTCCACCGACTTGCCGAGGTTCTGCTGCAGGCTGCGCTCGATCATTATCTTCTTGCAGATGTCGCGCAGCGTGTTCGCGATCGTCCGCGCCGGCATGTCGCACCTGAACACGTGGCACATGTGCTTGCGCGTCGACCGGTCGCGAGCCACGTAAGCGAAATCCCTAAAATACGAAAATACCCATGAACGACACCATCGTCAAGTAATACAATGTACTTTTTCCAATGACTGTTTAAATTTACTAAAACATGTCCCCTTAATAGCAAAGTGCATAAAAACTGTTTTAATCCAAAGAAAAAAAAATATTGTTTTTCTATAATATAAACATATTTGTTATGTAGGGTAAACCCTAATATATATGCACACTGTACAGACAGAGAAAATAGTAATGCACATTATCCATGTTTGTCAGTCAAAATTGGAAAATTATGAATAATGGGTATATTACCTATATATTTTATATCATCGTTTAAAATAACCTACAATTTTTATTATAGGTAAAACTAACAAAAAATATTATAACGCTATCTAAAATGAATCAAAAAATATTAAAACTGTCAAAAATAATCGAAAACTGTCTAAAAATGTCCTTATACTGCCTAAAATATCCCAAAGTGTATTACTGTCCAAAAGTCCATAAATCTATCTAAAATGACCGAAACTAAATTTAACTGTATAAAAATATACTTTAAACTGTCTAAAAAACAATATTATTATTAATAATTAATAAACTGTCTAAAAATGTCTAAAATGAGTAAAACTGTTTTACTTAAAAAAATTACCCAAACTATCTAAAAAATCCTTAAAACTTTCCAAAATAACCCAAATTAAATTTAACTGTAAAAATATCCTCAAAACTGTCTAAAACAACCACTTTAATAAACTGTTTAAAAATGTCCTTAAAACTGTCCAAACTTTATTAAACCGTCTAAAATGACTCAAATTGTATTAAACTGTCTAAAATGACCCAAACTAAATTTAACTATCTAAATAAATCCTCAAAACGGTCTAAAAATGTCCTTAAAATTATTTAAAATGACCCAAACTAGATTTAACTGTGCAAAATTATCCTCAAAACTGTATAAAAAGAACCAAACTATTAAATTGTTTAAAAATGTCCTTAAAACTGTCTAAACTTTATTAAAAATTGACCAAAACTGTATTAACTGTCTAAAAAGTCCTTAAAACGATCTAAAATGGCCCAAACTAAATTTTAGTATCTCAAAACGGTCTAAAAAATGTCCTTAAAATTATTTAAAATTACTCTAACTTAATATAACTGTGTAAAAATATGCTCAAAACTGTCTAAAAAGAACCAAACTATTAAATTGTTTAAAAATGTCCTTAAAACTGTCTACTTTATTAAACCGTCTAAAATGACCCAAACTAAATTTATCTGTCTAAATATATCCTTAAAACTGTCCAAACTGTCTGAAATAACCCAAACTGTATTAAACTGTCTAAAAAGTCCTTAAAACTATCTAAAATGACCCAAACTAAATTTTACTGTCTAAAAAAATCCTGAAAACTATCTAAAAAGAACCAAACTTTAATAAACTGTCTAAAAATGTCCTTAAAACTTTATAAACTCTTAAATTACCCATATTGTATTAAACTGTCTAAACATGTTCTTAAAACTGTCTAAAATAACACAATCTAAACTAAACTGTCTAAAAATATTCTAAAAACTGTCAAGAAAGAACCAAACTTTAAAATTATCCAAACTCTCTAAAAATCCTTAAAACTGTTTAAAATGACCCAAACTATATTTAACTAAAATTATTAATAAAACTGTCTAATGCTGTAAAAATATCCTTAAAACTGTAAACAGAGCCAAACTTTATTAAACAGTCTAAAATTGTCCTTAAAACTGTCTAAAATTAATTTAACTGTATTAGAACTGTCTAAAATAATGGAAATATAATACTAAAATTACCTAAACTGTATTGAACTGTTTAAAAGTCCTTAAAACTATCTAAAATGAACTAAACTAAATTTAAATCTTTAAAAATATCCTTAAAACTGTCCAAAATGAACCATACAGTATTAAACTGTCTAAAAAGTCGTTAAAACTGTCTAAATGACCTATGACTAAAAATGTCCTTAAACCTGTCTAAAAAGGTCCTTAATACTGTCTAAAATGCACATATCAGAGTGCGTTCCATAAAACTGTCTAATAGGGACTATATTTATGTAACTCTCCAAACTGTATTGTATTGTCTTAAAAGGTACTTACTTTGAAAAAAATACAAAGAAATATTAATTTATATTCACAAGTTCACAAAACAAGTGTCAAAAGAGTTGTGCTACCATAAAATCTAACAAAAATGGATACCCTTTAAATATCATGGAATTACCCATATTGATTGCTCCAAAGGTCATGTTTTTATTAATATTGACATTATACAATTTTTAATTTCATTCTAAAAATAGCTGACATTTAATTTTGTTTAACTAACATTAATTTCAACCCTTTAATTAGCGTTTTTTTATGGGGTATACATAAGTAATATAAACTGTAATTTACCTCTCTCTGAATTATCCAGGAAGCAAGTAAAAAAATGTGGAAAACGACTATTAGTTTTAGTTTAAATTTTGTTGTGTTTGCTTACCTGCCGTTATCGCGCCCCACACCCCACACCCTGATTGTATGTATCGGTTGAGTATTGAGGACTGTCAAATTTTCCGGGTCGAACAGTTCAGTTTTAAAGCTCCCTCGTCCAAGTCCATGAAAAGATCTTTACCCTGTAAATATAACGTTGTGTGATTTTTTTGGACCTTTATATTTTTTTACTTACATCGCCCCATCTTCCGACAACGTCCAAGAGATCATTTTTCCCCAGGGAAAGGTCCACAATGCACTTATTTACCGCTTTACTACTTCTTTCCGGCGTCAGATCCTCTTCGGCTATCTCAACCCAACCTAAAGATCTAACGGCGAATCTGATTGGACGCTCTTTAACTTCCTGCTCCGGTTTCGAAGGGTAACTCCTCCTTCTTAAAAATAATTTTTAACACTATTACTATTTATTTATTTTTTGGCTTACTTCAGCGAGATATCTTCCTTCTTCTTCCTGTCTTCAGAATCCAGATCCAGCGCCGAACTGGTGCTACTTCTGGTTACCGAAGAATTGTTCTCGAAGGGGGACATCAAAACGTCGGTCTCCTTAAAGCTCTTCAAGTCCGATTTTTCCGGTCTATCTTCGGCAGAGGCCGGCACTTCCCTCTGTATTGTTCCGCTTTTTATGTGCCAGTAGTACGGACCGTCATTGTCTTCAACAAGGACAATTTTTTATAGAGAAACGTCTCAAAGAACAAATGCGACTTAAGTTGGCACAAAAAATAAAATGGAATGGGCCCTTAATAGTATAATGACCCATGACATTAGACTGGGCCAAAAAATCAACTATTTTTTTTTTGAAAAGTATATCGAAAATATGGTTTGGGGTGAGAAAAAAACGATGAATATTCTTATGGGAAATCAAATGCTTTACAAAAAAAGCCTCTTAAGATTTTTGGCCAAATTCACTCAATCAAAAGTTATTCAAGGTTAAATTTAAAGTCAAAACGCATTTGATTTCCCATAAGAATATTCATCGTTTTCTGGGTACTGATTTTTACATGAAATACAAAATGTAAATCTATAACAATTTTTAAGGCATGATTTTAAGGAAACGGTTCATCTGACAGAAAAATTCGTTTTAACCTTTTTTGTAGAGCATTCAATTTTCTTCAAAAAATGTTTTTAGTCAATTTTGTTAAACTCAATAGTTTGGGAGTTCTGAGACAAAAACTTGCTGAGGAAAAAAATAAATAAAATTGCGATGGACTCAAACTTTCACAATAATTTTTTTTGTCACCCCAAACCATATTTTCGATATACTTTCAAAAAAAAAAAATAGTTGATTTTTTTGGCCCAGTCTACATGACATACTTAAAAACGCCAAAACTTACCTTCGTGCTTTTCCCATCCGGGAGGCAGATCGCAGCTGTTCCACTCCTTTTCCGGAGAGTGAAGTTTCAGGTTTTCCGGCGATTTTTGACTTTTCTTTATCGGTATGGCGTACAGGTCGTTGTTTATGTGCCCGACTATGTGTGGCACTCCATCCTCATCCTTGGTTATCACCCTTTGCTCGCACAAACTAAAATAACCCCAATTTTTAGATTATCGGAAATCAAAAAGTTTTTTTTCTAAAATGTTACTTTTTTGAAGTCAAATATTATCGAAAAGGACATACTTGTTCCACAAATCGGTATTTTCCTTAAATTCATTTCCATTGCTTTCATTTTCAACGTCCCTACAACAAAGAGTTGATTTGAACTTGTTGGTTGTTTACATATGTAAATACTTCTAAAAGTATAATATACCCTTAATTTTTCAAAAGTCTATCTCATTAATAACGATTTTAATGGCAACTGTAACAGGAAACAAAATGAACACAATTATTAAAAAAAGTGAACCCATCCAGAAAAAATATTAGGTACTTAATATTAGTTAACTTTATACAGGGTTTCACCAAATTACATCTTAAAATTTTAAGGGTGATTCTAATAATCAAAATATGGACAAAAAGTTCCCAAAATGGTATATACCATTATATATATATATATTAGGGTGGTCGTTATGTCGGGTGAAAAAAAAATTAACCGGGCCGCCCCTTAAATTGACTCAAAATAGGGGAAAAAAAATGTGTGCCAAATTTCAGCCCTATAGGTCTATCCTAAATTACCCCTGTGAACCACTTGTTCACTAAAAATTTAATTTTTTAATTAAAAATGATAAAGTAATTTTTAATTTTATATTTAGTATAAATAATAATAATTATTGTTATTATTATAATTACGGGAGAAATATTAATCAAATTATGCATACAATACTATACAGGGTGATCCATCTGTGGTACCTTAATTCGGAATCAGTTGCGATGGCATTTTTCGATGAATCAGTATCACTGAATACGAAACGATGCATGGTAACGGAATTAAACCAATCTGAAGATATAGAAAATGTGATTCCTAAAAGGATTGAACTAAAATACAAAGATATGGTTATTTTCTGTAAAAAAGAAATGGATGATTTTGTAACGTCTCAAACACGAAATTTCTTTGTTCGGTTCGGAATCAGTCAAGACTTTTTGTATATTGATCCAGCCCTTTGGAGCGAAAGTGAGAGTTATCAAAATGCATTAAAAATCGTAAACAATCTCAAAGTTGTAAATGATGTTGCGGAAAGGGGGGTTCAATTATTCACTGAGTTTAATCAATTAATAACGAAAGATGAAGACCAAAAACAGTATGCTCTTCAGCTCATCTCTAAATACCGCAAATCCTTCGCAGGTGCAAAAAAAGAAACAATATTAAAACCATTTTAATTTTTCAAATACATGGTGTTCAAAATTAAGTAAGCATTTTTATTCTAAATTTTGATTTTTTGAATATCTTTAAAGTGTATAGTTTAAATATTTTTATAGTTTTACCTTCGCAATCAGCAGAAAAAATACTAATTGTTTGCTAATTTCGCTGAAATCATATGATCAACAATAACGAAGTTAGCAATGGTGCGCCCTTAATATGGATCACCCTGTATAGTATTGTATGCATAATTTGATTAATATTTCTCCCGTAATTATAATAATAACAATAATTATTATTATTTATACTAAATATAAAATTAAAAATTACTTTATCATTTTTAATTACAAAATTAAATTTTTAGTGAACAAGTGGTTCACAGGGGTAATTTAGGATAGACCTATAGGGCTGAAATTTGGCACACATTTTTTTTTTCCTATTTTGAGTCAATTTAAGGGGCGGCCCGGTTAATTTTTTTTTTACCCGACATAACGACCACCCTAATATATATATATATATATATATATATATATCTATATATATATATAAGGGAGATAGCATACAGGGTGTTTCCAAAATCCCATATTTTTGGGAACTTCTTTTTTTTCATAGTTTGTGCCGTAGAATCACAACTTGAAAATAGTCCCATTATCGTACATGTTTCCATGACACTAAGTGACCTTTTAAATACACATCGACAAGTTGTGGCTTTATGGAGTTTTAATCACAGGGTTTTAGACACGGGCTGAAGTTAGTTTTAATAAAATATAATATCTTTATTAACGGTTTTGAGTTAGTTGACAGTTGTCAAATGTCATAAAATCGTTAAATAAAGTGCCTTTTTCGTAAAATAATACTAAATGTGAAAATTATTTTATTATCTAAATACAAAAATACAAAGTATTTCATTTCCCTTGCAAGAATTTTTAATACTTTGTGATAATATTTTCCAATTATAGTAATAATTATGTTTTGAAGTTATTTTAATATTTTATTTATTTTTCGTTCATAATGACTTCATTATAACCGCTTTCGGTGAGATACTTTATCCCACCCAAAATTTTGATTTTATAGGTTGGCTATACTTTAAACAGCATAATATTTTGCATATTGGTTATATTATTTTTATGATTTTTCTAGTACTTACAAGACTCTGGCAATATATTTTGTTTAACAGGAAAGAAAATCCTTTTTTCTTCTTCTTTAACATTAACAGCCGCTTATTATAAATAAGTAAATTAAGGACGGCATGGCGAATCGATTTTGACATTAACTGTCAAACCAATGACTGACCAACTATCTAAAGTACCAACCAAATTAAATTTAAGGTATAAAATTAATTTTTTTATAGAATTTTTGCAAAATAGATAAAATAGCACAAAGAACTCATGTCATAAGTAAGACCTTTGGTCGCACTCGTCCATTAGAAAACTCGCTCCTTCGTCGCTCGTTTTATAAATTGTCCGCGTGCGACAAAATGACGTCTTATGACATCAATGATTGTTAAGTTTAATTAAAATAATAGCGGGCAATGTTAATGGTGAAAATTACATTAAAAATGTTTATTTGGATGGTTACTTTATTTTCTTATAGATGTCGCTTTATAGAAATATTTAATTTAATTAATTTTTTAGATAATATTAATAGTAATGCACTTTTGGGACACTTTACCTTAATAAAAAGTATTTAACTTTTACTAATAAATTTAATAAGAATTAACTATAACTTATAATTTAAATGGTCGACAAAGCGCGTTAATATATTTCAATTAAATTCACTTAGCTTCTAACAAAAAATATAGCATTACTACCCATTACATGAAACAGTTGAGTTAATTGACTAATTAAAAAATATAATTAATAATCACAAGGATAGATTACTATGATTGTGTTCTAAGAATGAAATGAACAAATTCGTATTCGACTTCAACAAAGTAAGAGTTTCATTTTTAAACATTCAATTTTCTTAGTTTCTTTAAGAAACTTTCTTGACCCATCACTGGTAATATTCCTAAGAAAAAATTGAACCTACACCTAGCCAAAGTTTTTTGTTTTGAATGCGTTCCACCAACTTACCGATGTTCTTACCTGATGTTCTTACATCTCGCCTCTGTTGACTTAACAACCGAGCATATAAGCTCAGGGAGTAATTTGTTTTGATTGTGTTCCACTACACCAAGTTGTCCGACACTGATGAGACCCAATAAAGGTCGAAACAGCTGTCTGTCGGTATTTGAAGTTGGTGGAACGCATTCAAAACAAAAAACTTTGGCGAGGTGTAGGTTCAAGTTTCGTTTTTGTTTTAAATCGACTTACGTTCTATTGTCTATCAAGTTGGATGAGTTGATCTGCGTGAGGGGGCCGGTGGTGACGTCAACGCCCATCGAGCCTATATCGAGGGCGGCGTACGCTTTGCGTCCGGCGTTGCCGGACATGGGGGCGCCCCCTTTGAGCCCGTGCCCCATGTTGCAGATGTCGTCCAGTTCCTGGTAGATGTCCTCGTACAAGCTGTTCTCCGTGTTGGAGTTGAGCGCGTCGTCGAGACGGTTCGACGGGCCTAGACGGTAGTTCGGGTTCTCATAGCTGAGAAGACCGTTTTCTGCGGAGAGAAGAATACAATTTGATATTTCGAAATGCAGTACTTCCAAGTAAGAATGTTTAAAATTGTGATGGTTTTCATAAACAGAAGATTTGAAAAATCAGGAGTTGCTTTTTCCAAATTTAAAAAGTAGATACCATAGATGAAATGTATGGTCTATTAGAGGGGTTTTACCCTCCCAAAGAGGAAGGCCATCAATAAAATACTTAAAAATCATTATTGGAATTCCTACATCCATTTTGTTGTTGTTAAATACTTTGATATATCCCATTTTACATATTTATATTATAATTCTTTTGATTTTTAAGATGTCTCTGCTTTTGTTTAGGATGAATAAAATATCTTTGCTCTTAGAAACTGGATAAACAGAGGATTTGAAAAATCAGGAGTAGCTTTTTCCAAATATAAAAAGTAGATGGCATAGATGAAATGTATGGTCTATTAGAAAGGTTTTACCTTTTTAAAGAGGAAGACCATCTATAAATTACTCTCTAAAAATAAATTAGTCAAAAATGACTAATTGTAGCAAAAAAGCATTTCAATGTTTTTTTATGGATAACTTGCCAGAATAAATTTTTGTAGTTATTATTGTGCAAATTTCTACTTAAAATTTTTAATAAAATTTAGTACAGAGTCGTTTTGAGGGGTGGTGAATCCAGTGCGGTGCTTAGATTTTGTTTAAAAAAATCGCTTATATGGATTCTTAAAAATTTACTCTTAAAACTGACATAGTAGGCCTTGTATTTTGTACAAATATGGCGTTTTTTGCTACAGTTTATCAAGATCTACACTTTAAAACAAATCCGGTTAAAATCGCACAATAAATAAAGATTTTACAGGGGTGAGTTCCATGATTCCATTTTATGTCTAATTCTCTTGGTTTTTAATATGTATTAGGTACCTATATATATCTTTGCTCTTTTAAAAAAAATCAGAAGTGGATTTTTTTTAATATTAAAAGCAGAATAGTGTTAAAAAGGTTTTATGTTCCCTATGAGAAAGACCATCAGAAAATTGTTGAGTTATGTATCAAGGCAGTAAAGTCGTATTTTTTATCACGAATGAGGAAATTATTTGATAATCAAATCAAATGTCATTTGAATGTAGGAAGTGTCTACGAATACTGTTTGTTGCGACGATTATTATATATTTGCCCGCCGCGGCGATTTTTTAATCTAATTAATAAAATTAACTTATTATTTTTATTAAACAACATTTTATGAATCGACCTCCGCGACGTTGCTTTTTTTAAATATTATTTAGTTGCTGCTGAGGAGCAGTAGACACATCTTAAAATGTATAATGGGTTGCATACAATACTCGTAATAAATCGGCAGTAAAGTTCTACTTCACTGCCGATTTCTTTTACTTTACTGCCGATTGTTGACTACTTTACTGCCGATTTCGGATAAAAGTAATTTTTATAGTTACTGTACTTATTTTACTAAATTCATGGTTAAATTTAATAGTTATAACAATGCCAACATAAAATTAGTTTTTATTTTACAAATTTATTTATTTATTAACAAATCTAATTAATTTTGAAAGGCCCTACATACATAAATCTAAATTTAGTAATTTTGAACTTATTACCATAATTTTTTATACAATTACGGCACACAATTTTTAATTTTATAATTATAACCGTTCATTACTGGTCTGTTTTAATACAATTTGCATGTAACGGCGGACAGGTCTCGAGTTACATTTTTACATGTTCTTTTCGTGTCAAATTTCACAATAAAAATATTACCGTAATATCTATTGTCAAATGTGCATTTACGGGCATGGGTTCTTGTTTCAAAACTCTTTTATAATATGCATTGCCTTTGTTTTACAAACAAGCACATAAAAAACTCTGCATTTGGGATTTTGTTCAAAAAGAGTGACTACGAATTTAATCCAACAATTTTAATTTTTAAAAAATACTACCTTTTTTGTGTAAAATTAAATGAAAACTCATAAAATATATTGTGTGAACTGAAAACAGTTTTGCGTGTGTTCACAGGCCATAGAAGTACGTAAGAATCCAAAAATACATTATAATAATCTTTAAATTAATTCAGAAAAATGACGCATAGACTAAGTGGGTGGCAGCAGCTATAAAAGTACAAAAAACATCAAATAATTACCCTGACCTTTTCATTTGCACACCGTATTTATTATTTAACGCGATCGATCTGTTCGGAAAATTGAATCTAAGTACATAAAACACGAGTTTAATAATTCATCCATTTAAATCTTTATACCTTTTAACACAGCACACTCTGTTCAGTTTATACACGTTTTATCTTTATCTGGTTAATTTTTTAATTTTACTGCTGGTCGACGGACACGCGAGCTCGGTACTGCACGGGCTCACATGGGCGATAATTTCTTCGGGCTGTGGATTGGGACGAGAGGGGGGTCGAATTGATGTTATACAGGGTGTCCGAAAACCAGTGGCGGCTGGTGGATTTTAAGTATACCAATATCTCAGTTATTAGACATGGGACCCACACCAAATTTATAATAGTTTATATTGACATTAAATAAACAAGTTCGGCGCAAACAGAATTTAAATTGAAGTTTGCGAAAAAAAGTTAGTTTTTCCTGTCGCCTACCCTGCCTCCAGGCCCCCCTATTTGAGATAATTCAAATTAAAGTGGTGCAATTTATTATCCACTATAATTTATCGACAAATTTAAAATTTTATTTAAAAATCCAAATATTACAGTTTTTATACCATTTTAAATATTTTTTTATTTTAATAAAATAAATAATAAAAATTTAAAATCAAATAAAATCTGTAATATTTGGATTTTTTGAATAAAATTTTAAATTTGTCGATAAATTATAGTAGATAATAAATTGCACCACTTTAATTTGAATTATCTCAAATAGGGGGGCCTGGAGGCAGGGTAGGCGACAGGAAAAACTAACTTTTTTTCGCAAACTTCAATTTAAATTCTGTTTGCGCCGAACTTGTTTATTTAATGTCAATATAAACTATTATAAATTTGGTGTGGGTCCCATGTCTAATAACTGAGATATTGGTATACTTAAAATCCACCAGCCGCCACTGCCGAAAACTTTGCTTTGAAATTTGAACACAGTAAAGTAGATAGATGATGCTTCAAATTCATTGAAATCGGGCAAAATTTGCTCGATAAGATAATTTTAGTTTAGTTTTCGAACACTCTGTATACTTTTGGCATTGAATGGACTTCGTAGCTAGCGGGAAATATTAATTTTTTATGTAAAGTGCGCGTTGTTGGATGGTTAATTAAGGTCCCTATTAATGTCTTATCTTTATAGATCAGTGTTCAAAGCAACATATGATTTTATTAGATTACATATACCTAATATACGGTAGAATAGGAAAATAATTAATTACTATTAATTTACCAACAACAAAAACAAAAATGTAAATGAAAACAACTTAATATTTTGTGATGTGGACCGGAAAATCAACTTTCAGGTAATAGCTTGTAGACTTTCCATGTCCTAATTTGAAATTTATAAATCAATTTATAAAACCAAAGTTTGTACAATGTACGATAAATATACATATACACATACATTACCCAAGTAAAAATATGGATTTTATTACTAATATTATAAGTAATGTATTCATTTTATGCCTATATAAATTTAATAATGGAAAATCAAATCAATACAATATGCTTATAAAAATTGACTGATCCACAATTTTATAATAAATAAAAATTAGCGATTCATATTTTTTTCACAATAACTCAAAAACCATGACAAATACATAAAAAATATATAGGAACTTTTTTGTAAAAAATATTTAGAATTACAATTTTTATAACGAACAAAAATATCGTATTTTAATAAAAAGCGAGATATTTGCAAAAAATAATATGGCGCGGCACTAAAATATGCATTTTTTTTAAATAGAAATCAAAAATATGAAGAACCTTTTTTGTACAAAATTTTTCATATTGACAAATCTTTTTAATAAACAAAAATGTCCCATATTAATAAAAAGCGCGATACTTGCAAAAAATAATATGCCGCGGCACTAAAATATGCATTTTTTATGAAAATTAAAAACTATAACGAATACATAAAAAATATGTAGGACCCTTTTGTAGAAAATTTTTCAGAATTACAATTTTTATAATAAACTAAAATGACATATGTTAATAAAAAGCGAGATATTTGCAAAAAATAATATGGCGCGGCACTAAAATATGCATTTTTTTATGAAAATCAAAAACTATAATGTATACATAAAAAATATATAGAAGCTTTTTTGTAGAATATTTTTCAGATTTATTTAATATTAAAATCCGTTGCCGTTCTAATTTTTGGATTCTTTACTTTTACCTCTAGAAATCTGAAATCGTGTCAATCTCTTACTCTCTTATAGTGGGCCAGAACTTTTTTTCTGTGACAAATATTGAAATGATTTTAATTTTATTATCCAATTAGTTAATCTCATAAAAGAATGGTAAACCACTAAAAATTCATGATAATTTGCCAATTTTTATGATTTTTGTCTGGCTCCTGTGCCTATTCTACTAAATCTAGAAAGTTATTTTTTTCAGGTATACAATAGAAAACGTAACTATTATTTTAAGTTTCTAGACTATCATTTTCTTTATTAAAAAAACTAATAATTCTTAAAATTAGTCAATTTTGCCCTCAGAAATCATTATGTTGAGGAAAAAATAAAAATGAAACTTTCAGAAAATGTAGTCCCCACCTTCATCTTTTCAGTCCAGTTAGTCTTGTTTTATTATTTTTATTCATTAAAAAGATATATTAATTATTAGCGATATAATATGGCGCGGCACTAAAATATGCATTTTTCATGAAAATCAAAAACTATAACGAATTTGTGTATTGTGTATTGCGTATGTATAATACATTGTATATGTATATCGTGTATGTATTAATACATTAAAAATATGTAAAAGCTTTTTTGTAGAAAATTTATCAGATTTAAAATTTTTTTTAATAAACAAAAATGTCATGTTAATAAAAAGCGAGATATTTGCAAAAAATAATATGGCGCGGCACTAAAATATGCATTTTTTATGAAAATCAAAAACTATAATGTATACAAATGTATAAAAATATGTAGGAGATTTTTTGTAGAAAATTTTTCAGATTTACAAATTTTTTTAATAAACAAAGATGTCACATGTTAATAAAAAGCGAGATATTTGCAAAAAATAATATGGCGCGGCACTAAAATATGCATTTTTTATGAAAATCAAAAACCATAACGAATACATTAAAAATATGTAAGAACTTTTTTGTAGAAAGACAATAAAATAATAATTACTGTGCCACCAAATATTTATTTTTGATTAATGTATTAAAAATCCATAATACCTCGTAAAATAAAATAATTAAATTCGCCCCATAAATATATACATCGTAAACCCGACGAACACTTATTTTTTGCGGGCAATACCTTGAAAAATTGATGCGGGATTATTTTATTCATGAACTAGCTCTGTAGCCTTACATGGACGTCTTATCCGTAGCAGTAGTCGCGGGACCCGTCCCGCTAATGTGATTTATTCATAGATGGCGCCTCGTTCGTCCCGGCATAAATTTTAATCGGGCAAAGGCCGAAACGGGACGTGAACCGGAAGCAATCAGCAAAGTTCGCAACTAAGTCGGGGTTCAAGTTATTAGTTAGGGGAATGGGCATTTCCTGGTTGTCTTGGAAATGACACGAATATTGAAAATGAAGACTCGTATTGATTTAGATCCTGCAATTGCTCAGTAAAATTGCCATGGAGATTGTAGCGAAATATTAATGTAATTTTTAAACTTGGCGCTCTTGTCGCTAGACTTTTGAACGTATCAGTTGGTAACATTGTGAAAAATGACAGTTATCGTAAAAATGACAGATATTGTCGCCAATTTAATTCTCGCGTTTCGTGTAAAGAAAATTTAATCCGTATAGGTACGCTAAAGAAGTATCGGGTTTTCGCAACGCGCGCGCCATCTGGTGAACTTTGAATGCATTACGTGAATTTAAGAATTGTCAACAATAAATTTAAAGCACCGATCTAGGGCACCGATTATACATCATTTTTAAATAAATAGAAGTCTTACTCGACAAATTTTGTTCAATTGCACAGCTAAATCGCGCACGTTATTTGTGTTTTACGTAGCAAGGAAAAAATTAAAAAACTTTTTTAGTACTCGATTTCGATCGATTATTCCTTATATCATTGATTAATAAACTCAACGCTTAAATGCTTACATAGTTACGTTAGTGTGTGTATTTTATCAAAGGGATCATGGTGAATTATTGTGTTTTTAATTGTAAATAAAATTCACGAACTAAATCGTTGCATTTTCATGTTTTGCCAAAGGATCCAATTCGGTAAGTACATTTGTTGGTGCAGAATTAACTAATAATAACTTTACCTAATTTATATTTAAGTTTGCACATATTTAAGAAATTAGTAAAAAATAATTTTGCACAAACATAACCTTAAAATCAACCATTTTTATATTCGAGTTCTCTAAAAAACGCCGACAACTGCATTTTAAACAACAAAATATACCTACGAATTTATGACAACATAATATAATGGTATTTTACCGTTGAGTGGAGACTTTCTTAATCAAGGCTTTTAATGTTAAATGCTGTTTAAATTTAGACGACTTATTTGTTTGACGATTTTAGCTGAATTGAAATGTTTACACTTTTCACGTTAATCACTACTAAAATGTGTATTTATTGTGTCTGATAGGTACAATTTATATTTAGAGAGACTGTATGCAATTTATTTCTTCATTCAGATTAACACTGTTTATTGGAAAACCGGTAAAAACTTAACCAAGGATTTCGTCTCGAAATACACCGAACAACACAACAAATCGATATTTTTTAACATTTTCCGGCTTTATTCTCAAAAACACTCGTTTGAAAGCTGATTATTAAAAGTTCTACTTTTGTTACGATGATAACAGCCGAGTGGTGGCGCTACTAGCCATACTTCTTTAGCGTATATCGTAGCTCTGTTGTTTTCTTTTTTTAACATGTTTGTAACGTTCTACAAATAAACTTCAATTACGAAATTTGTAAAGTTCTGCATTTTAGTCAAAAGAAAATCCCCGTAACAAAGATTAACAGTGTGATTATTGTGGTGGTGTTTGAAAATCGTTACCCAAGAAAATGTCTTCGTCTTCGTGTACAGCCTGCGCGGTAATGGCAGCCATGCCCCTGGCCAGGAGCACCAAGGACCAGTAGGGGTTACGGCTATCCGAACAGAACGCGCCCGAATTGACGTGAAAACCTAGGGGTGTCCTGTGGAACTCTCCACACAACATCCCCACTTTAAGTTTGACCTAGTAATCCTACCTGAAACAAAAAAAAAACAACTTCAGAACAAGTATTACCATAACTAAAATAAAAGTGCCATACGCTAAAGAAGCATCGGGTTTTCGCAACGCGTGCGCCATCTGGTGGTGTTCGATAGCATATTGTGAATTCAAGAATTGTCAACAATACCAAGTGGTGGCGCTACTATAGCGATGCTTCTTTAGCGTACAGTATAAAAGGACAGTTAGGCATACAAAATAGCAGTATAATATTTATTATGATGATTAAATAAAATGATATAAAAACTAAAATATCAATAATTGATAACCGAACGGGTGAAAATTAATTTGACACATAATTTCATACCTAGTGAGTTTAAAATTAGTAACTGAATGATTGACTGTTTTCCCCCGGGTCAAGTTTTGCTTTTACCGCATTAAAATTCACGCGTAATATTACTGTTTTCCAATTAACGATAACATCGAAATCGCGTGAATAAAATATGCGATTTTTTAGTTGCCTCATTTATCTTTTTTTAACATTGAAAACTTGTGATTTTTATGACTTTCTATTTTTTTAAATTAAATACAAAGTACTAATTTCGGAATGCAGAATCCTAGCGTAGAGCTGTGAGGCAATATTACTTAATTTAAGTAAATATTTTGTTAAATTAACCTTAAAAATTTACTTTAAAGTAAAACTTTTTTTAAAGTTATTTAATAAGTTTTATTTATGTTATTTTTACCTATTTTAATAACCCTTAAGTTTCAACACTTTAAAGTATTATGAGGGACGTAATTTTTACGAAAGAAAATTACTTATAAGTGTATTTCACCCAAAGGAAAATTTGACGGTAATTTTAACGTCAGAATTTTGACTTAGTGGTAAATGTTACTCATAAGACATAATTTTACGATATTAAGACCATTTTATAACCGTAAATAATTCCTATTCGCCTGGTATTTTTAGGGTTATTAGTGGTAAAAATTTCTATTAATATTGACTAAACAAGGAAAAATAAGCTTAAAGTGAAAAATAAAACTTTAAGGGAATTATTACTTATCTAAACATTTATATAATATTTTTTCATAAATATTTTTCTAAAATATAATAAGGAAAGTTTTAGTTATAAAAATTAAGATTTTATAAAATTTTGTAGGTTTTAAGTTTTGTTGAATTTTTACCCAAGCAATAATTTTTCTTAAAACCGTAAAATATTTAGAGGGCATACAATTTTTAAGATGTATCGTGCCTATTTGTATCAATAAAACAATCTGCGTTTGAGTTTTAATGCAAATATTAGTTTTGACAAATTAATATTTTTTAATTTTACTCAAGGGTGGCCTTTATTACTTTTCAAGTACCATTTTGTAAAATATAAATTAAAAGAACAAAGAAATTACGAATGTCAATATTTTAGAAAGAGAGAGCAAACAGTAATTATAGCGTTATTTTTTACGTAAATTTGTGGTATTTATATTGTTTTTATTACGTTATTCTTTTTGTAGATCAAAAAGGTTATTATGTAGGTAAAATAAAGAAAGAAACCATTCCCAAAATTTGGTAATTTTTCGTAAATATACCGTTATAAAACCGTTTTGGTTAACCGTAAAAAATACTTTAAAGCTGACTTAGTAGTAAATTTGTAGTTATTTAAACTTAAAATGCTGCTTGGGAAAACAGCAAACAAACTGAAAATGCAGGCTCGAAAGGAGGAAATTAAAATGCCAACGTGGAGTTAGTAGGGAAATTGCCATTTTCGAAATTGAAATGGCAAATCCAATAACTCTATGCGATAAAAAAATGTTTGCTGGAATTAACCGGGAAAAGTTTTTTTAGTTCCTTTTTAAAACAAAAAGTAGTAGGTACCTACTTTCAAGTCAAGACTAAAGCTGGATTTAATGTAATTTAAGAAAATTTGTGCCATTCATACAATATTTAGTACCTACTTGGTGTTTTTTAAAACCGATGATGGCGAGACTATGGTTGACTGAATGATAATTATCTTTACCTTTAACATAACACAAAGATTTTAAGCACAAAACAATATAACTAACCTTGATAATTACACTAGTTTTCTTGTGTAGTTTGGCTCACTAAACGCGAAAATCACACTTAAATTTTTTTTAATGGAAGCGTTTTCGAGATATGAATTTTCAATTGTTTTTTTTTTAATTTTCTGAGGTGTTTTGACGAGGTAATTGAGTCATCTACAACTTCCTCTTGTATAGTTTTGGTATCGGCTCAGTAGTTCGATACTGGCGATTTTATGAAGTTGAAAAAGTCCTTTTTTTACAAAAATCGAGGTCAAAAATTTACATATTTTTCTGGGAAAGATAGAAATCGAAAAGATACAACCAGTTTGATTTATTTTACGTATAGATACTTAAATGAAAAAAATAAGCTGCTGTTGATAAAAATCCATGGATAGATGGCAAAGTTATGAATTTTTCAGTGAAAGACCAAAATTCAGTTCAGAATTTTTCATTTTATTAAGTTATATAAAGTTTAATATTGAACATTGATTTTTATTTTAAACATTGAAATTAAATTATACATTAAATATTGAACATTGAAGATATTGTTTAAGTAAGTTTTATTTTGTTGTAATAAGCATAGGTTTAAAAAAAATCTGGCTCCTTTTTTGTTTTTTGTTGCTTTCGTATTCCGTTTCTCGTATAAGGGACCAAATGTAATCACCCATCATAGCTGAATCCCAGAAGCCGTGATACCGCCGCTCCATAGCCATCATTTGCTGGTGAAAACGTTCTCCGTGCTCATCACTAACATCGCCCAGATTGTCCGGGTTATTTACGCACTCGAACTCTCTACTTCTTTTACTTATTTTACACTTTTTACACTGTTCAAAATTTCATGACCATTTTAACACCAAATTAACACCATATTTGGTCTATATCGATACAAACCAAAATGGTGTTAAATAGGGTTCGTTGGTCCGGTGTTAATTTAAATACTAAAATGGTGTAAATTCAAATACTAAAATGGTGTAAATTTAACTTTCACACAGTATTAAAATAAATTTTACCTGGTGTAAATTGAACTCCTTTTCAGTGTTAAATATTATGTGTTTGTGGTCAAATTAAATCATACTACACAGAAAAAAGAAAAAAAAACAGAAAGTTCCTTGACGCATTACTAGTACATTACCAGTGGTATTATTCCAGAAAATGGAACCTTCAACTCGCTAGAGATAATGTTTTTAGTTCGTTCCACTAACTTAACAAATACTTCAACTATTGACAGCTGTTTCCACCTATTTAAGGTCTAGTATCGAACAACTTGTAGTGTCACACCAAAGCAAAGGACAACATGAGCTTATATATTCTTCATGTAAGTCAACAGAGGCGAGATTTAAGAACATCACGTAATCCACAAAAAATAAATACTTATGGGTCAACTAAATTAATATAGTTAAATGAACTATTTCTTTTTTTCTGTGTAGGTGCACTTCTCAAATATTTTTAAATAACACCGTTTTGGTGTTCATTTTCAACCATAATTCATGGTGTTATATTAACACCACTTGGTGTTGGATTTTGACACCATTTTAGGATTACTTTTTACACCACATATATTTTAAACAGTGTATTAACTAAATAAAACCATGATAAAAATAATCTGTTAAAATATCAAAAACTAGCAGTAAAATGTCACTATGCCAACACGAGAAACAAAAGAATTCACGTTTGCGGAGTCATGTCAAATTCAAATTTTATAGAATGTTTTCGGTGAAAAAAGTACGTAAAAACTTAAAAAATTGCAATCATGCACTTTAATTAGGTTTTCATTAAAAATAAACATATTACGAAATAAAAGAAAAAAACTAAAATAAAAATCGTCAAAAAACTGAATTTTGGTCTTCCACTAAAAAATTCATAACTTCGCCATTTTTTCATGTATTTTTATCAACATTAGCTTGTTTTTTTGTAAAAATGTCAGCTTCACGAAAAAAAATCCAAACTGGAGTTATATGTTTGATTTAAACCTTTCCCAGGACGATATGTAAATTTTCGACCTCAATTTTTGCCATAAAATCGAATTTTTTAAGTTATTAAAATCGCTAGCGTCAAAATCCGATATCAAAAGTATGTAAAATTAAAGTTTTAGTGGGCTCAAATACCTTCAATTTAAGGGCTTGTTTGATCAAATCGATCAATTAGATTTCAAGCTATACTCAAAAACGTCAAAACACCTCCGAAAATTAAAAAAAACAATTGAAAATTCATATTTCAAAAACGCAAGCGCAGATTCATTTTCATGTTTAAGAAAAGTTAAAAGTTTATTTACATGATTTATTATCTGTTTACATTACATTGCATTACATTAGATGGTGGCTAATTCCACCTCTAATGTAATGAATAGGAGGGAGTAAAAAAAACTTAAAAAATGTAGATGCACGTTCTATTTCGTAATGCATCGACCTTTGTCCCAGTTTAAATCCGCGTATTGGTGGCCGGTTAACGTACGTAATCGGGCGTAAAACCGACGCTCGGTTTTTCGCAGCGGCAACAGCCAAATTAAATTAAGAGCGCCGCGGCGCTGAGGCCTTTCAACGAAAAACCCAATCGATCTGAACCAACGAAACTGCTTTCATGGCAGACTGTGATGCGGCTTTGCCGATGCCTTGTCCCGATAAAATATATAATATGAGGGCACACACACACATGCACGTAGCTATAGCTAGTAAAATAGTATATTATGTATCGAGTTTGATAAATGAATTTAATTTATATATTTAATACACTCACAGGCAAAATAATCGATCCACACAAAATTTCGATGAATTTCAATCGCAAATGGGTGATTCTACAGAACGGAGCAAATATGCTGAAACTCTTAAATAAAATATATCTACTAATGAAAGTAGTTAGCATTTAAATAACACTACAATAGACAGTTTATGTCTAGCAGTAGAACGTACTTAACCAAAAAAATAAAACATTTTTTATTTTATTAATTTGAATTTGCTTAAACGCTTTAAAGTCAACTCCATGGACTGTTACCACCTAGCGTAGGGA